TTGTAACCGCCTCTCCTCCCACTCTCCTCTTCTCCTCTTTGCTCCAGCTGTCTTGGCCTCCTTGCTGGTTTTCAAATGATAAGCATGTATCTATCTCAAGGCTCCGGCTCTGCTCAGAAGACTCTTCCCCCACCTTTTCACATGGCTCACTCCCTCGCCTCCTTCAGGCTTCGCTAAAATGTCACGTTACCCATGAGTCATTCCCAAACCATCTATACAAAATAGCATCCCCCACCCTCATCCTGGTACTTCCTATCCCCTCGATCCTTCTCATTTCCCTCTACTGTATTCAACATCACCCAACATATATATGCTGGAGAAAGCGTGTGTGTATTTTATTTCTTATTCTCTTTGCATCCAAGAATATAAATCACACAAGGACAGGACTGGGTTTTATTCCCTTGGACTAGGTTTTATTCCCTTGTTATCTCCTCAGGCCTGGCACGTGGTAAGTTCTCAAGATACATTTGAGCAGATATTTGCCTCCATTAAATAGTAAGAGGTTGCTCTATGAATTTTAAAGAAACATTAGGATAACAAAAACAGAGCTCCTGGGTAAAGAAATAAGACTCAATGGAGAGGCTAGAAATGTAGAAAGGTATTAAGTCTATATGTAGAAATCTTACACAAAGCAGAGTAAAATGCTGGAGTTCGAAAATGAGACGGAAGAGATAAGAAAATTAGGCAATCTTTCCAACACATCCAATATCTGAATAATACACATGCCAAAAAAGAGGATAAAACAATTCAAGGAAACTTCCTATAACTGCGGCCATAAGTTTCCCAGTTGAAAGGGCCTACCGAGTGCCCAAGAAAACGGATGGCTCATCATCACAAGAGTTCAGAACACTGGGGACACTGAAGGTCCATGAAGGCCCCAGAGGATGGAAAAACAAATATGTCGGAAAAAGAATTAAGGGTTAGAAGAGCACTGGACTTCTCATCAAAATCAGTGGAAATTAGAAGACAATGGATCAATGCTTTAAAACTGAGAAAATAATCTCAAGCTTGCACTTATACCCATACAATTGTCAATTAATTGTAAAAGTAGAATAAAGCCATTTTCAAACATATAAGGTTTCAAAAATATTTACTGGCATGTTTTCTTTCACAAGAATCTCCCAGAGGATGCACTCCACCAAATGAGAGATTAAACCAAGAATGAGGAAATTAAGAGATCTGAAAACCTGAGAGAGAGGCAAGAGGAATCCCCAGGATGATAGTGAGGAGGTCTCACAGTGAACACTCTGCAGTCAGCCTACTGAGCGACCTTTCCAGATCCTGTCAGAAGACTTGGAGAGAGAATTCTTCAAGAAATTAAAATGACAGTCTACTTAATGTGTTTGTATACAGTGGATATTGGAAATTTGCACAAGCAGGAGACAGTCTGAAGGGGAAATACATAAGAAACAAAGCAAACAAAAAGATAAACATTAACTTCGTGGAAAACAGGATGCAGGGAAGGAAAAGGAATCATGGCACATTATATGGCTCAGCTTTGTTGTACGCTTTATATCACTTGATAACAGAAGCACAGAAAATATAACTAAAACTAACTATACTATAGGGAGCACGGGGGGATAAATGTAAAGACGTGTGGAGTAGGGGTAGAGGATGGTGAAAAAGTCAAATCCTTAACCACTACAGTCATGTGTCGTTTAATGACAGGGACGCGTTCTGAGAAATGCGTCGTTAGGTGATTTCATCATTATATGAACATCACAGAGTGCAATTACACAAACCTAGATGGTACAGCCTACTGCACACCTAGGCTCTATGGGACTAATCTCAGGGGACCACTGTGGTATACGTGGTCTGTCATTGACCTAATAACGCATAAGGGCATGTGACTGTACAGAAAGGCAATAAATAATAACTAAAACTGGAATTTGAAGATAAGGAGGTAAATGCTGTAAGAATCAACTAAAAAAGAGTTAAAAGTGGTTGCCTCTGGGGGCTTCTGTTTTTCATAAAAAGTCTTACAGAACTATTTGCCTTTTTACCTGCATATATATGTTTGGTAAAAATAAAAGTTATATCAAAAGGTCCTACCACACTAAACTAGTGGTGGAAAATGACTAGATGCAAATTTTCAGAAGGACAATTTAACTACGTTTATCAAAATAATAAAAGTGCAAACCTTTCACCTTGCAATTCCACTTCTATGAACTGACTCTAAGAAAATTATTCTACAAGGGGAAAACGGCCACATGAATTAAAATATTCATCGGCCACTGTTCATTCTACTAAAAAATTAGAAACAATCACAATTTCAATCAATGATAGACTAAGGAAAACATACATATACTGGAATATAATGCAACCAAAAAGATGGAGTTATAAAGCATATTTACTAAGATGGGAAGCTGCCAACATTCTGTTGAGTGGGGCGAGTGAGTTACAGAACAGCAGATACATCACTTACCCAAAATTTTCAATTTGCTGGAACCTCTTCTGCTCTTTCCCTAAATGGCCACATGGCTTTCTCATTTTATTCAGGTTTTCAAATGTTCCTTCCTCAGATGGGCTTTACGAGATCATCTTTTCTAAAGATAACAGCCAACTCTTCCTTTCCAAAGCCAACAGCCTTTCCCTGGATTTTTTTTTTTTTTTTTTTTTTTGAGGAAGATCAGCCCTGAGCTAACTACTGCCAATCCTCCTCTTTTTGCTGAGGAAGACTGGCCCTGAGCTAACATCCATGCCCATCTTCCTCTACTTTATACGTGGGACGCCTACTACAGAATGGCTTTTGCCAAGCGGTGCCATGTCCACACCTGGGATCCGAACCAGCAAACCCCGGGCCACCAAGAAGCAGAGTGTGCGAACTTAACCACTGTGCCATCGGGCCGGCCTCTCCCTGGATTCTTATACACAACCATTTTGCACAGACTCTGATGAATGAATGACAAGGATCACCTAGGCTGGACTCCCAGCAATGCTGCTTCTACCTGTGTGACAACAGTGAGTCATACAAGGTCTTTGTGCCTTTGGTTTCCTCACATGGCACACAAGTAGTAAGACTATATGCCCAACATTAATATGTTGGGAGGAAAAACTGATTTAACACGTGCAGTGTGCTTGCTTGGTATAAGTAAGGCCTAATACATGTTTCTTATCAAAATTATCTCCCTTTTGCACTCTTCTGGATTATTTGAATTTTTCCCATGATGAAAATACATCTTTTGTACAAAACAATAACACTTTTGCTAAAAATAGTTCTATTTTAAAAATAGAAAAGAAAAGGAAAAAGGACATATAATCCCACCATTTGTCAATCAGATAAATAAGAAGTCAGTGAGTCCCCATCTGAAACCATCCCTATGACCCAATTAACAACTACTGAATTTTTTCCTCTGCTTATATAGACACACATATATCCACATAAATCCTTTTTTATAGAAAAAAAAAAAATGGGATCATGTCACTTGCTTTTTTCACTTTTTAATATATTGTAGACATGGTTCCATCACCTCATTCTTTTCAACTGCTGCACAGTATCCTCTGTGGCACATAGCAAGATTTAAGCATTCTCCTATTAACAGACACTAGAGTGTTCTCAATTTTTTGCTACCACAATGCTACAATGAATGTGAACACATACCTTACATCCTCAACCTGTTAGAAGATTCCCAGGAAGGGCTGAATCAGAAGGCATGGATTTTGTTTTATTGTTTTAAATTAAATATTGACTAGATACACAAGTATTTATAAAAGCCATGTGAGGAATAAAACAACAATACAATAGTCACTGTACACCCATCACCCAGTTGAATGACCATAATGTCTGAAGCTTCCCACATGCCCCTCCCTGATTCCGTGGTAGAGAGATTATGAGAGTTGCCATTTATCAATCTTTTATTTTTCTTCTATTTGATAAAAGAAAATCATATCTCATATTGCTTCATTTTTTATTCCTCTAATCATTATAAAATATAATATCTTCTCATAGGTTTATTGGCTATTTGTATTTCTTTTTCTATAAATTGCTTATTCACTTCCTTTGTCCATTCTCCTATTGGGTTGACTGGGCATTTTACCTTCTGATTTAAAGAAACTCTTTGCACATTAGGGCTATTAAGCCACTGCTAATACTCATGTGTAAACAGTACCATGTCTTTTGCAAAACAAAGTTTTACATTTTTTTTTTGGTGAGAAAGATTGGCCCTGAGCTAACATCTGTTGCCAATCTTCCTCTTTTTGCTTGGGGAAGATTGTCGCTGAGCTAACATCTGTGCCAATCTCCCTCTATTTTCTGTGAGATGCCACCACAGCATGGCTTGATGAGTGGTGTTAGGTCCATGCCCAGGATCCGAACCTGTGAACCCCGGGCCACCAAAGCGGAGTGTACAAACTTAACCACTATGCCACCGGGCTGGCCCCAAAGTTTTACATTTATTTATTTATTTTTTTTTAAAGATTTAATTTTTTTCCTTTTTCTCCCCAAAGCCCCCTGGTACATAGTTGTATATTCTTCATTGTGGGTCCTTCTAGTTGTGGCATGTGGGACGCCGCCTCAGCGTGGTTTGATGAGCAGTGCCATGTCCGCGCCCAGGATTCGAACCAACGAAACACTGGGCCGCCTGCAGCAGAGCGCGCAAACTTAACCACTCGGCCACGGGGCCAGCCCCAAAGTTTTACATTTTTATGTAGATAGTGCTATTAATTTTCTTTCTGGGTTCCCATATATTCTTTAGAATTTTATTGCTTGCATTCAGATCTTTAACTGATGTAGACTTTATTTTAGTATATGGTGAAAAATGGGGCTCTAAAACTTAATTTTCTTCCAAATGCATAGCCAGTTGTTACAATAGCATTTATTGAATAATTTCTTTCTCCACTGCTAAGAAGACTTTACTATATATCAAATTTGCATATATATGTAGGGGTGTGTGTGTGTAACATATATATATATATATATGGCTGTTTTGGACTCGGTTCTCTCCCACTGCTCTCTCTAGCCTGAGTACCACAATGGAGCTAGGTTAAAGGGAATCACTCACCTGTCCCTCTTCATCAAAAGCCATGACCACAACAGCAGCTCCAAACTTCTTAATCTTTCTGGCCTTCTCCAAGAAGTCATCCTCTCCCTCCTTCAGACTAATGCTATTGACAATGCACTTCCCTTGGCAGCACTTTAACCCAGCTTCAATCACAGCGAAATTAGAAGAGTCAATGCACAAGGGCACCTGAGATCAGAAGGCAAGAAAATCACAGAAAGTCGACAAGTCACCACAAATTTTCTTCCAAGGGCTCCCCAATATTCCCTAATTCTTTTGGGGAAAACAGTAAACAAATAATAGCAGTGTGACAGAGAGAGAATTTTAATGCACTTGTTCTTAAAGTCTAAAATACTTAGAATAATTCCAGTCTTACAAAAGACCCCATGCACAGGCCAGGAATTTATAACTCAAAGATCATAGCCAAACAGCAGAAGGGGATCACTGAGGTCAGTTCACTGGCTTCAGTACCAGTTTACACTTTCAGGTGCCTAAACCCTGAGGCAAACACCTCAAGAAGGACTCAGACACCCCTGATTTGACTCTGGGATTAATGTGTAACCGCACATCCTTGGTGACAGCCCTCTGGCCAAGTTATTCAAATTCAATCTTCCCTTTAGGTAATCAAGTTCCTGACTGGAAAAAAAATGAGTTTTACTATTAGAAGGGAAAAGTAGATGTAATATTCAACAACTGCATATAACTACAACAAAGGGCAAAACTGGAATTCATAGATAAGAACAGGCCCATTTTTAATGCTCTCCATGTATTCAGGCCTCTGTTCCAGGAAAGGTGAAAGTAAGGGCTTCAAGGAAGCACTAGATTCATGCAAAGAAATGAAACAGGGCAGCTGATCCAGGCCCCATTATTTAATTAATTCACTTAACAAATAATTAAGTGACTACCAGGTTAGGCCCCATGCCAGATCCAGGGGCAAGGGTCAGACAGGCTCCACTGAACTTATAAAGGTAATGACATAAAGTGAGAGCAGCGCTAGTGCACACGAGAAGAATGGACTGCCATGAAGGCAGATTTCAGGGGCATCAGACCCAGTCCGTCACACAGGGCAAATGGGGAGGGAGGGTTCAGGGAAAGGTTCCCAGGGCAGTCAGCTCTTCCTTAAGCCACACCTCCAAAGAAGAGCGAACAGAACAAGGAATCCATCGATTTCACTCCTTCTTAGCATGCTAGTCATGAGAGGTTTGCTGGGAAGAGGGTCAAATGCAATGAGGACACCAGGCCAACGTCCTAAAGCACTTACTGACACTGTGATGTCAGCCCTTCTGGTGAAAGCATGCTGCTCATGCGTTTCTACGCTCTACCCCATTGTGCAAAATTTAGTCTCAAACAAATTTTGGTAGTAGGTCAAAACCAGGAAAGATAAGGAAGAAAAATTATTGTGGCAATCAAAACACTAAGTAACTAATGATATCTTTAAGTTACACGGGGTCCTTCCACAGCTAACAAAGGCACTTTTCTCTTTACGATTTGCAAATCAGACAACGCACGTACGAATAGTCCTACTTTAGAGATGAGCAAGAAAACTAAGGTCTCTAGTTAATCGGCTTGCCTGAAGCTCTAAGTCGAGTCTTGTGGCTCCCAGCACAGCCCTCTTCCCACGACTCAGCTGACAAACAGCTGCTACCCCTCTGATTCTGACTGACTTTGAACAAGTCATTTAGCTTCTCTGCACCTTAAATTCTAAAATATTTACTCTCAGAGGAGTGATGAGACTTTGTAGTTGAGGAGTTTTAAGACATAAATGAAGGAGGGGTTAGCGTAATTCACCACTTACCACAAGACTTCTAACTGAGCATTTGCTGAAGCCCAATAAAAAACTGCCAGCCCTCAGCCCTCTCTCTTAAAGCACGAGGAGGTTTCTTATTAAAATAAAAAAAAAAAAAGAACTTTAAAAATCACTCCTCATCACAAATTCAACAGTAGAGAAATGAAGTGAGATTTTTAAAGTTTTTAGAATCCATCTAAAATTTTTTAAAAGACTGATACAAAAATTAGCTTTCATCTTTCAAAGAACGAATGTAAAAGCTGACATAATACCTTAATTTAATCTTGTTTTGTAATTTTATCTTACTCTGATAAGCCTAAAAAAGTCTCTTCCTCCTGCAATAAGAAAGAATTAACCGAATTCCCTAGTCTATGGTAGGAATGGAGCTAACGATTTGGCAGGAATGGGTGAGTATATCCTTCACAGACATGAAAAGTGGGTTCTTAGTCTATTCAGACACCAGAGGAAATGTAATCAATTCTTATGACCAATTCCAGAAGCCTTGGAACAGCCAAGCTGAAGTCACATCTCTCTCTGAAGTCTAGTTTACATTGAAAGGCTACCATCAAGCAAGAAAACTGACAATCAGAAACGGTTGGGACTTTGAACATAGGAAAACAGAAAACCAGTGCATGAGTTGACAGATGAATGGGACAACTGACAAAGTTAAATGAGTGACGGAGCAAGACATAAATTCCCTTGAATAAAAATGTTGTACAACCTTGGCAATGTCAGGCTCAGACGCAATGAAGTTGCAAAATCTGGTCATTGCACTTGGACCATCTAGCATGCCATCATCCATGTTGATATCCAACACCTGGGCTCCCATTTCCACCTGCACTTTGGCAATACTCAGTGCTTCCTGAGGAAAGAACGCAAGAGGAGGCAGTATTAGGAGGTGACTCAAGAGAAGGCTAACAAAAGTCATCCTGTACCATCTCCAGCAGTCCTTTCAAATTATTCTAGACTAACGAGCCAGCCTGCCAGACTCTGAGCCTGCTCTTCTCCTATCAACAGCACAGATTAACCTTTCTTAAACATCTCTTCCATCACATTATTTTGCCACTCAGAAGCCACCAAGCCTCTGTTTTTCTACCATAAAGAACCCAAACTCCTTAGCCTGGTGTTCAAGGCTTTCCTGTGACCTTGCCCCATCTTCTTACATAACTGGACTTCACACTCCTCCCCGACTGGTACCCTTCACCCAGCCAAGTCTGTTTCCACCTCTGTGTCACGGATAATGTTGCCCCCTCTGCTTGGAATACAATACTGTTCCCCTCTGTCTTGTTTAAGATCCAGCTTAAGTAACTAACTCCTCCAAGAAAAGTCCTTAGAGAAATCATCCAAAACTTATGTAATTCTTTAGTTTGCCAAAACACACAAAGCATTCATTGTTGCCTGTTGACAGGAAGTACATGAAATGTGAGTTAAACAAATTGTGGCAGATTTTTATACTGGAAGGCTCTTCAAATCCTTTAATATACTTTTAGACACTGTAAACCTCCACGAACAGAATAGAATATGCAGCATTTCTCACTTATGACCATTTAAGGAATATCTTGCAGGATCAGTGGTCCAGAGAACTCACTTTGGGAAACACTGCTTATTCCACAACGATCTGATGCCTCTAAACTTCTCTAACGATTATAAGCATTATCACGTGACATGGTTTATTACATCACCATTTCCTCATGATTTCATGAGTATTAGCTTATTCCTCAAAATAGATTTTAAGTGTTTGGAAATCTAGAAAGGTCTTACGTATCTCCCAATCTCCTTTGAACAATGCTGGGCAAAATATTCATATTCAATAATGCTTTCTAACTGATAGAGTAGAGACTATTTTGTTTGAGTCATCACCATACACTTCACAGTGTAATAAAATAAGAAGAGAGAAAATCAACAGTAGAGTCTGATGTTGTCCTAATTTTTTCTTAGCCCAAGAAAACCAAATAGAAATTTCTAGCAATCATTGTCACAGAACAGGCATGAAACTCTTTGCCACAAAGAAAGACCATTCCTAATGACACAAGGTTACACAGAGAAAAGGATCACAAAATTCAGCAAATCGAAAAATGTTTTTCAGTATCAGCAATGTGTTAAATGATGTAAAGAATAAAAACAAGTATAAGTAACAATCCTGTTCTTGAAGGGCTTACATCTAGTTGGGGGCCCATGACATAGCCATATAAAAAAACTAACTGTGCTACCATATAATGCGTGAGTCAAATGTCACAGCCGTCTAAACAGCAGGGAAAGGCAAGGTCTCTGTGGACTGAAATGGAGAAAGCTACGTGAGGGGGAGAGTCTCCAGTTGGCCCCTGCGGGATGGAATGGAGGAAGCAGAGAGGAGGCAGGCCAACCTGAAAAGCGCTAGCGCAGTGACTGGAATATAATAAGACCTTATTAAACGAGAGATTATTACTCCCACCATTTGCTTCTTCCTAAAAAGCCCTCTGCTCTCAGTACCAAATCTATAAATCTGAGAGGTGAAAGGGACACCACAAATGGGTGTAAGAATCAAAACACACACACAAACGTTGCCAGCTGAAGAACACTGTACAACTATGAAGGGCCATTGGGATTTCAGAAGGGAACAAACGTGAACAAAGGCGCAGAGGCAGAGACAAGCCTCCTGGAATGCTGTGATGAGATCAGGATGGGGAGGCAGTCTGGAGCCTCAGTGCAGAAGGCTGAATGACGGCCTAAGGAGTTTGGCTTTTATCCTAGATGCAAAAACAACACACCGTGAAAGCTTCTGAACTCAGGAGGACCGTGACAGAAGCACATGGCAGCAGTGAGCACCAGCAGGAATGAAGGGAAGAGGACTGCCAGGAACTGCCAGGAACCAGGTAAGCAGGCCCTAGTAATGCGCCACAGGGCTGCCTCTGAGGGTTGCCATGGGGTAGTCATCAACAAGTCGATAAATGGTGATAAATGGGCCCTTCCTTTATGACTAAAACTAAGTCTGCTTTGATACTGGTTTCCGGAAGATCTATTTCCTAAAGGTTGCAAAACCTTAAAGTGAAAGAAGTTTGATAATAAAATAAATCATTAAAGCCCGGACCAAATTCCTCCACTTTTTCCCCCTTGAAGAAGATTAGTCCCGAGCTAACATCTATGCCAATCTTCCTCTATTTCCTATGTGGGTCACCACCACAGCATGGCTGATAAGTGGTGTAGGTCTGCCCCCAGAATCAAACCCACAAACCCAGGCCACCAAAGCAGAGCACGCTGAACTAAATCACTAGGCCACAGGGCTGGCCCCAAATTCCTCCATTTTTAACTTCTATCTGCATAAGAAAAAGAAAATCTATCCAGATGTTTAGGGTAAGCTCTATTTGAATTAAATTTTGCTCATCCAGAGTGACTGAGCTTAAAACTACTATGGCTAAACTATTATGTAAATTTTTCAAGGCAGGAACTCACTCTTTCTTTTGCATTTGCTTGTTTATTTTCCTCTACAGCTACAGAATCAATAATACCACATCAGTCAGTGTTTGATGGGGTCATGAGGAACTGAACAGGAATTTTCTTGGCTTTCCCACTCCATAGAAGGATTTGTGAGAAGCCAAAATGAAGAGTGTTCTGAAATTTTTTCACTTATTTCACAATTAATAGAAATAGCTGGAACTAGGATCCCTCCCATCTCTTCCCACTTCATACCCCGAATGCAGTACTTTTTGACAAATATTGACAACAGCATCTTCAATTTTTCAAAGCCTCATCCTCCCACCAGCTGAGCCTGCTGCAAACCACGTTACCGTTCTTCTCACACTTCCCAGCGGCTCTGCTAATAACACTATCAAAAGCAGAGCTGTTTTATTTACATACTGTCTAGCCAAAAACATGGCAGATGCCTCAAGGGTCCTATTAAGATGCTCACTTCATAGTTTCCTGCCATGATGAGTTTAGCAAACTTCCTGGATCCTGCCACGTTACAGCGCTCTCCAATGTTAACAAAGTTGGTGTACGGTCCAATCCTGAAGGGCTCTAGACCTTAAAAGAAGCATTTTGAAAAACTTCTGAAAATGCATATGGTGACATTAGACAAAAAGAGAACAAACGTTTTCATGAGAAAGAAAAGAAGTTTCTGCGCCACAGCCCATCTGACTAGACAGGAGATCCAGTGTGAAAACAGGACCATATCCTTCTCCCCAAGGGATATTTAAACATAAAAAAGGCTGTATGTTGCAGCAACATTTCCAACCAGAACTTTCAAAAGAAGAAATATCTCAGGGTTTTAAATTTCCAATTTCTCTAAAGAGCTGAATCATACCAGCTCTGAGAGAAAAGGAAAAATTATCATCAAATCCCTATTTATTTAACCAAGAGTCTGGGGAAAAGCCATGAAGTTAGAATCGAAAGGATTGCTGTTCACTCGGACATCAACCTGAAGCCAGATGGCACGAGCTTCCTTAACCCCACCAATGGTGTGTTTAGAGCTTTACCACAACTCTTGGATCCAGAGGGCAAGAACCCATAACCAGCAAGGCCAAATGGGGTCTAGAGGGAGGAGCCAGGCTGAGCCCCGGGAGACAGGAGCTACCATGCAGGTCCACCACGCCTGAGCTGACTCTGGGCAAGTCACTTGGGCTTTTTGCACCTCTTCCTTTATTTGCCAAGGGATAAGAACATCTCCCCTGCTACAGGCCAATTTAGGAGCAAATACCAGCTAATAAATGTGGATACATTACACTTATGTAAAAAGCAACATGCAGTGTAAAATATCATGACAGGAAGGCCTGTAACTGTTTTTGTTTTATTCATTATATTTAAAACATTAGGAAAAGGAGTCTTGCTGGATGCTTACAGGTAGGCTCTGAAGACAGCCAGCCTCCGGCTCAAAGCCCTGCCAAGCCATCTCAGTGAACAACCCCGGCCAACTTCACTCAGAGCCTCTGACCTTATAAAACAGAGATAGTGAGAGTACCTGCCTCATCCTGATATTGTAAAAGTGACACTAGATAACAGTGATAAGCACAAAATTAGCACCAGCAATCATAGCTGTTGTTAGTAAAAGAAAATGGCTTTTGAATCCTTTGCCAAAGCATTGGTTGGGTAAGAAACAGATATGAGGGAGAGGAAAATACTGAATGTAAGACGGTAATTATAACACTATTCCTGGCTGTTGGTTCACTGACCGGGAGGACTACTGCTTCCCAGTGTGGGCTTATGATTTCCCTTCCCATTGGTATGATCCTCAGGGCTTTCCCCCTCCATGCTAGGCTGAGGGTGTCCTGATACTTAGTCAGACCCTGGGGGTCTGCAGGGCAGGCAACCCGGGAGGTGAACATTTAAATGCTGGAGAGATCTTGTGTCATCACATGAAAAGCATTTCACACAAAGCGCTTCTGATCTTTTACGAATGTAAAGTATCTGAAATAAAAACTACATTTTTCTAAGTTTGCAATTTATAAAAGAACAACTTAAAAGAGTGTGTTTGATGTCATTCTTTTGAAATCTGATTGAAGGTGATTCTTTTTTCCTTTTTTTTGGTGAGGAAGATTAGCCTTGAGCTAACATCTGTTGCCAATCTTCCTCTTTTTTTGTTTGAGGAAGATTTGCCCTGAGGCAACATCTGTGCCAATCTTCCTCTATTTTGTATGTGGTTCACCACCTCAGCATGGTTGACGAGTAGTGTAGGTTGAACCAGGTTGCTGAAGTGGAATGTGCCGAACTTAACCACTATGCCATGGGGCTGGCCCCAGATTGAAGGTGATTTGTAAAGCAAATTAGAAATAGGACATGAAATTCAAATTGGGAAAAAAGGATTTTTTTTTTTTTACACATAAATTCTTTAAAACAATCACATCTAGGGGGCTGGCCCCATGGCCAAGTGGTTGGGTTCGCGCACTCCATTGCAGGCAGCCCAGTGTTTCGTTAGTTCAAGTCCTGGGCACGGACATGGCACTGCTCATCAAATGATGCTGAGGCAGCGTCCCGCATGCCACAACTGGAGGGACCCACAGCAGAGAATATACAACTGTGTACTGGGGGGCTTTGGGGAGAGAAGGGAAAAAGAATAAAATCTTCAAAAAAAAAAAAAATCAGATCTAAATGTTTCTCTTCTTGTTTCAATTTTGGCACACGTTGATCATTTTAACTGTTAGCCCTTGGCTGAAGTCAATTACAGCTTTAAGATCTAAGGATGAAATAAACCATCCTACCACACCTCTCTCTGAAAAGGGGAGGCTGCCTCCCTCACAGGACTGTTGAGAACCAAACACAACTCTTGGTAAAACTTTAAATGCAGAGCAAATGTAAGATAGCAACATTAATATTTTAGAAGCAACAAAATTTTCTAAGAAGCTGCCGCCATTACAAAACACTGAGCTGTGGCAGTTTGGAATTTTTAATAACTAGTAGCAAATCTGACAATTAAAACTGTTAGGCTGTGGCTGAGAGAATGTTTTCAAAGCAGTGCACAACGGCCATGGGACCACGTGAGTTCCAATTCTAACCAAGGGCACCACCTGGGCTTTATTCACATTTCCCCAGAAGTTAACACCTTCCCACTCCCACCCCTAGAAAAACAAAAGTTTCTTCACTGGAATTCATTTAAGTGCCAAGAAAAATATGTATTCTTCTTTGCCCTAATAAACAAGTTGCTTGGCACAAACATCACTACCACTCAGAATAAACATACTAAATTAATCCATCTACAAATGGTCTCTGAAATCCAAAAACCATGTCTTTATGACTTACCAGACAGTAACATATGCCCTTCAAAAACAGTGGCAGGTGGAACTCTAGGCTTATATTTTTTCACAGCTTCAGCAATTTCCCTGAGTTAAGAGAAGACACTATATCCATTAATTCACAATAAGATAAATTTAATTAAACTAATTTCAAGCTATGAAATTAAGTCTATTTAACATAATTATGCACATAATTATATACCTAGTTCCAAATGTGCAGCAACAATTACGCCCTTTAGTTTTCTCAGAAATGCAGAAAATGAGTCTATAAAGTTTAACTTTTCTGTATCTGTAGAGTGCACTGACTGTACCAGTTTCTGCACTAAGAGATGTGAACCTAGAGATACGTGATGGTTTGCGCAAATGCAAACAGCCTTTCTCAAACCCATACACGTCCTCTGCTCCATCAAATCCACACATGAAATATGTCCTTGCTTCTTACTCAGTAGTTTAGAAGGGAAAAAGCCTTCATCACTGAGAAGGAGCAAACAGGAGAGGCGGTGCCAGGAGTGGAGGAATAAACCCTTTAGGCCTGTCTCTTCCGAGCATAGGGTTCACACAGCAGGGAAGGAACAGAGTATTAAATCACTAAAACTCCAAAATAATTACTCCTAAAAATTTGCTTTAATTATTCATACCTTTTTAACCTTACCAGATTAAATGAACTGTCTTTCAGCAACCTTGAAAAATTTGGCTACTTCACTAAATTTATCAGGGTGAGTACGAACTGCTCATTCTATTGCCCCCAAAATTAGTGTGCAGGGGTCAAAGTAAAAGCAGCAAATATAGACAGATAGACACACAGACAGACAGACAGACACACACACCTTTTTAAACAACTCCCCTTTTTAAAAAGGACATAATCTTAAAAACAGAGATCCAAAGATAAACTGTACTCAACTATGGATAGCTTTCAGATAGTATTTAAAAGATGTGTAAAAAATTACACAGACTCTTAACACAGTCTATCACAGAAGTCAACAAAAGCAGTGAAATATTAGGTAATTCAGTACAGTGAACATATTACACGCACAAAAACAGACACAGAACATTGAGACGACTGGCTCAAAATACGATCATCAGTCACTCTAGGGAAAAAAAAAAACATACAAACAGTCCTAAACCTCTGTTCCATTCCACTGAATTCCAATCCTCTTATAAGTCACAAAACTGCAAGGACTTCAACACACACCTCGCCATGCTCTTGTGTCACACTCCCTTCCTTCATATACTCATTCAACAACGTGGACTAAGCAATGACTGTGTGCCAGGCAAGGTGAAGAGACTTCTCTTGACCTCAAGGTGCTTGCTGTCTTATTGTCTATTCCTTCTGTGAGAGAATCTAATGGACGCATGTATTTGCCAACGAGAAATAGGAGCTGGCCCTCCTTGAGCACTGGAGTATTCGTATTTAAGGGTAGGACATTGTGATAGCTGAGATTTGCTTTATAATAGTCTAAGCAAAAAAGAAGTTGGAGAATAGACAAAGTAAGAACAGCAAAATGCCGAAAATTATGGAAGCTGTGTGATAGGCACATGAGGGTTCATTTTACTATTTTTCTACTTTTATTTTTAGAGTTTTTCACAATATAAAGGCATCTTAGTTTGCTAGGGCTGCCATGATATACCACAGACTGGGCAGCTTAAACAGCAGCAATTTATTTCTCAAAGTTCTGGAGGCTGGAAGTCTGACATCAGGGTGCTGGCAGGGCTGGTTTCCTCTAAGGTCTGTCTCTCGGGCCTGCAGACGGCCATCTTCTCCCTGTGTCCTCACACGTCCCTTCCTCTGTGTGTGACTGTGTCCTATTCTCCTCTTGTAAGAGCACCAGTCAGACTGGATCAGGGTCCACTCACATGGCCTCATTTTACCTTAATCACCTCTGTAAAGGTCCTGTCACCAAATATAGTCACAGTCAGAGGAACAGGGTGTTAGGACTTCAACGTCTGAACTGGGGGAAGGAGAACACAATTCATCCCATAACAAAAGGTAAAACATTTAGCAGCGATTAGTACCTGATATGATCTGGTGTCGTACCACAGCATCCACCAACTATATTGACCAAGCCATCCGCAGCAAAGTCCTGCATTTAGAAAAAGACAAAGTTTCAGAGAGTTCATCTGAATTCTAAACTGACCACTACCAATTCAGCAGAAAAAAAGATCTACATTTCCTGAATAACTAATTTTAAAATAAAAAGAGAGCTAAACATACTTAACTCTAGGTATAAAGCTTTCACATGCCCTAGATGTAAGGTTGAAAGCAGAGAACAGTTCAAATACTATGAAATCCTTTACACCATTTAAAATGCAATGAGATACTTATTTGCCTATCTGATCATAATAAAGATTTTTTTACCCAGATGCTGAGCTAAATTAACACAAGCTGGATAGTGCATTTTCAAATAATACACGAAGTGAGTACCAGTTTTTAAATTTAAATTAATTAAAATTCTGAAAGAATTAAAAATTCAGTTCTTCAGTCACAATAGCCACATTTCAAGTGCTCCAACAAGCACATGTGGCAGTGGCTACATGTTGGACAGTGTGGGTCTAGAGTTTAACCATAGACTAGTTAGTGAAAGACAATAACTGAGAGAGGAAGTCAAGGAACTAAGAAGTCAGTATTAGAAAGATCATCTGCTAGATAAGGTAGTGAAATCGTAAGAACTAAGTCAGAAATCATCTAGGAGAGAAAGTCAGTGAGCCAGAAGCCAAAAATTCAAGGAATGAGGAAAGGAGATCCAGGGGTTAGTAATAAGGAGGGGTAGTGGGTAGTATGGTCTCATGGGATTCGAAGATGGGAGGTTTATGGGAGAGGAGGCGTATGGCGACAATGGAGAGCAAGGAGGACATCTAGTCTGCCCAGCAGTTTGGGGTGTGGGGGGAACCACCGCTTGGGAGGACTGCAGAGAACAGCCGTATTCAATCAGTTTTGGCTGGATCTCAGTGGGAATTCTCCAACAGCCACGAGTGCCAACTGGGAAGAAGGATGCTGACAGCTAGCCTCTCCCTCTGCTTCCACCATCTCAATTCAGAGGAGCTAAGCTTTTATTTGTTATATATACACTGGGATCTCTTTAGGAGAAAATTCTGCTTCTAAATATTCTAAATCTAAAATTCCATTTCTCTAACTCTTAAAAACCAAGTGAAAGAGGATTCTTGACCTTCAGGTGCATGGCCATCATGTGCGGAGTTTCATCATAGTCACCAAAGGTATTGGGAAGACCTAAAAAAGTAATATTTCAACCATTACTGGAAACTACCTTAACAAATAGACACAATATTTGTAAAGGCTTTAGGTTTCAAAGTTAGAAACTTTTGTATTTATAATTAAATGGTGATTACTTGCAAAAACTGAATAATACATATACATATATTTTGTGAGGAAGATTGGCCCTGAGCTAACATCTATGCCAATCTTCCTCTATTTTACGTGGGATGCCTCCACAGCATGGCTTGCAAGCAGTGCTAGGTCCATACCTGGGATCCGAACCAGCGAACCCCAGGCCACCAAAGCAGAGTATGCAAACTCAACCACTACGCCACCAGGCCAGCCCCCCAATAATAATTCTTAATATTAAACATAGTAAATACAGAGATATCACACCAAAAAAAAAAGAGTCACAGAGAAAAATGAACGTACTATCTCTTTTCCATTTGAAAGAAAAGAGTCACTACTATATGGGACAGAATTCCCCCAGCCCGACTCCCTTCCCATAAGGAAAATTCATTCTTGTTACCTAGCTGCTTGGAGGGGAGGGTGGGGTTAGGGGAGTACTACATATCCTGTGAACTACTGAGCACCTGACAAGCAATTAAAAACAAGTAAAACACAACTAGTCTCCTTTCAAATAAATTTTTCTAAGTAAGACTTTAGCATCTAATTATCCAATTTCCTATTTTACTTCTTATCCCCTTCCAGTTATCTCACTCCTAGTGGGAAATAAAATTTATTGTGCGATAAAATATATATATTTGGAGAAAAAAGGCTGGAAAATATTTAGTCCTAAGTAGCTAAGCAGTGCTCAAAAACATTCACCAGGAAATCTGGTTAACCCAAACTAGATAACCAATATTTAATTGGATGGTCTGAGAATTGTCTGTAAACATCTTAGGAATTTTTATACACAGTAAACCAGAAGTCCTAACTTTTAGAAAGGAAAAAGGCAACACCACACAAGGTTCTTCAACTGCTCCTTTGTTAATATAGTGGAATGCAGAAGAAGGTTCCCTCTCCTCTTCTTTGTACTTGTATCTCTTTGGCCATGTCCACATGGTGAGCACCATCACCAAAGGCCAGGCTCTGGTCAGTTATGTGACTAGGCTTCACTCCCCAAAGTTTTGTCCAATTCCGAAGCTTTCAGGCTGAGCCAAACTGTTTCTTCAAGTCTAGAGGGGAAACAGTGATCTAGACCCAAATACTCTTCATTTAGAAAATTCCTATTGAATGTCAACTATATACCAAGACCTACAAAACAAACCCTTTTAATCAAGATCTGTTACTCTATCTACCCATGTCCTGTGTATTTGGATTTCCCCGTGTGCAACTCCCTTAAAACACATACCTGCATTGGGATAACATAGGACATAGGCTGTTGTACATTTCCCAATTGTTTCAATGAAAGGTCTCATTTCAGCTGCACCCAGAGCACAATTTAGTCCAATGCTGGAAAAACAAAAAGGATGTATTAGAAGCATCATCTTTTATTCATAATAGTTATGAAGATAAAAAGTTATGATGAAGAAATAGATCTAAAACCAAGCAGATAACAAATCTACGATTCAAAGCATCTTTATTCAGCTACAGTCAAAGCCACATCACTGAAGTCCCCTATAGCACTGAGTATTTCTGCCCATGCCTCCAACCTCAGATGATCTTACAGCTAAAGGACCCTGCCTATGGATGTGACTCCTTACATAAGTTCACAGTTTGGATAAATGGTATACTGTGAAACAGAAATGCCTCCAAACTACCACTGCTAATAAACATCTGACTTGAAAACAAAACTTAAGAGAAAGAAAAAGGAAAATCTTGGAGGTAGAAGGAACATTAATGGTATGGAAACCACTTTGGGAGTCTAGAAGATCAAGACTTAGTCCTGCAAAGAAAACAGTTCAGAGATTACCAGGGGAAGGGGGGTAGGGGGTGGGCACAGGGGGTGAAGGGGAGCACTTATGTGGTGACAGTCAAGAAATAATGTACAACCGAAATCTCACATTGACATAAACTATTATGAACGCAATAAAAAAGAAAAAAAAAAAAAAAGACTTAGTCCTGGCTCCATAAATGACTTGCAAGATGCCCTTAGACTTAGAATTTGTCCTCGTATAAATTAAGCTAGCTTCTTCATAAATTAAGCAGTAAGACCAAGGGGCTCTCTGTTTTACAAATGAAACTTGCTGTGGACTCAAATAAAACAGATCAAAGCAGAGCTGCTCTAAGTGAAGTTACAGTGGAAAGCCTGAAACCCTTCCAATACTGCTCTCAGTGGGGGCCCCTGAGGCCTTCAGGAATCAGGGATTAACCACGAAGCTACTGGACTATGTGATCTTTCACTTTTTCATATTCCACTTTTTTTCTTTTACTATGATTCCTAAGTGCAATGCAGTATACTAGATTAGATCTTAAAAGAGAAAAAGGATGTGGAAAAATGTGAAATCTGAGTATTGTCTGGAGTTTAGTTAACAGCAATATACTCTTAGTTTTGACAAAAGCACCACAGTTAAGTAAGATGTTAACATTAATGACAACTAGATGAAGAGTACATGGGAATTCTCTGTAGTATCTTTGCAACTCCTCTGTAAATCTGAAATTATTTCAAAATAAAAAGCTTATTTAACAAACACATACCCAACACTCATTCATGATAAAAACTCTCAGCAAACTAGAAATAGAGGGGAACTTCCTCAACTTGATAAAGAACATCCACAAAAAATCTATAGCTAAATCATATTTAACTATGTAAAACTAGATGCTTTCCCCCTAAGATGGGGAACAAAGCAAGGAAGTCCTCTTTCATCTCTTACTCAACATCATACTGGAAGTCCTGGCTAATACAGTAAGAGAAGAAGGAAAATAAAAGGCTGACAGATTGTAAAGGAAGAAATAAAACTGCCCTTGTTCACAGATAGTAAGATTGTATATATAGAAAATCCCAAAGACTCAACTGAAAAACTCTTGGAATCAAATAAGCAATTATACCAAGCTTGCAAAATACAAGGTTAACATACAAAAGTCAACTATCTACCCATGTGTCATTGAGCAACTGAAGTTTGAAATTAAAAACACATCATTGGGGCTTGCCCAGTGGCACAGCAGTTAAGTTTGTGCACTCTGCTTCGGCTGCCCAAGGTTCACAGGTTCGGATCCCAGGCGCGGACCTATGCACCACTTATCAAGCCATGCTGTGGCAGGCATCCCACAAATAAAATAGAAGAAAATGGGCACGGATGTTAGTTCAGAGCCAATCTTCCTCAGCAAAGAGAGAAGTGGTGGCAGATGTGAGCTCAGGGCTGATCTTCCTCAGGGGGGAAAACAACACATCTTTTACATTAGTGCCAAAACAAATGAAATATTTGGGTATAACTCTAACAAAATACATACAAGAGCTATGTAAGGAAAACTACAAAACTCAGATGAAAGAAATCAAAGCAGACCTAAATAACTGGAGAGATATTCCTTACTCATGAATAGGAAGACTCAATATTGTTAAGATGTCAATTCTTCCCAATTTTATACATATTCACACAATCCCAATTAAAACTCCAGCAAGTTACTTTGTGGTTATTGACAAACTGATGCTGAAGTTTATATGGAAAGGCGAATTATCCAACTTTAAGACTCACTAAAAAGCTAAAGTAATCAATAGTATTGATGAAAGAAGAGACAAACAGATCAACTGAACAGAATAGAGAGTTTAGAAATAGAACCACAAAAATATAGTCAACTGATCTTTGACAAAGAAACAAAGGCAATCCAATGGAGAAAGGATTTTCTTTTCAACAAATGGCATTAGAACAACTGGATGTCCCTATTAGAAAAAATTAATATAGACACAGATCTTACACCTTTTATAAAAATTAACTCAAAATGGATCATAGACCTAAATGTAAATTGCAAAACTATTAAAGATATAAATACATATAAATATATAAATAACACAGGAGAAAACCTAGGTGACATAGGTTTGGCAATGAGTTTTTAGATACAACATCAAAAGTAAGATCTATGAAAGAAGAAATTGATAAGCTGGACTTTACTAAAATTAAAAACTTCTACTCAATGAAAGACACTGTTAAGAGCATGAGAAGACAATCCACAGACTGGGAGAAAACATTTCCAAAACATCTATCTGATGAAGGACTGGTATCTAAAATATAGATTCTTAAAACTCAACAATAAGGGCCTGCCCGGTGGCACAGTGGTTAAATTCGCACGTTCCGCTTCGGCAGCCCAGGGTTTGCCGGTTGGGATCCTGGGTGCAGACATGGCACTGCTTGGCAAAAGCCACACTGTGGTAGGCATCCCACATATAAAGTAGAGGAAGATGGGCATGGATGTTAGCTCAGGGCTGATCTTCCTCAAAAAAAAAAAAAACTCAACAATAAGAAATAATCCAACCAAAAAAATGAGCAAAAGATCTGAAGAGATATTCAACAAAGAAGATACACAGATGGTGAGTAAGTATATGAAAAGATGCTCCACATGGTATGTCATTAGAGAATTGACAATTAAAACAATGAGATACCATTTTCCACCTATTAGAACAGCCAAATCCAAAACACTGACAGCCCCAACGCTGGTGAGGATGTGGAGCAACAGGAACTCTTAGTTGGTGCTGTTAGGAAACCAAAACGGCACAGCCACTTTGGAAGACAGTTCGGAAGTTTCTTAGAGAGCTAAACATAGTCTTACCATGCAATCCATCAACGACACTTCTAAGTACTTCCCCAATGAGTTGAAAGCTTATGTCCAGACAAAAAGCCACATATGAATGTTTATAACCTTATTCATAATTGTCAAAACTTGGAAGCAACCAAGATGTCTTTCAATAGGAGAATGGATAAACAAACTGTGGTACATTCAGACAAGGGGATATTATTCAGTGATAAAAAGAAATGAGCTATCAAGATGTGAAAAGACACGGATAAGCCTTAAGTGCAAGTGAAAGAAGCAAATCTGAAAAGGCTGCATACTCTATGATTCCAACTATATGACATTCTAGAAAAGGTAAAACTATAAGAGAGTGAAAAGATCAGTTGCCAGCAGGCAGAGAAAAAGAACGAACAGGTGGGACACAGGGATTTACAGGGCAGTGAGACTATTCTGTATAATATTGTAATGGTGGATACACGGCATTATGCATTTGTCCAACCCAGAGCATGTACACCACGAAGAGTGAACCTTTTGGTGGACTTTGGGTGATTGTGTGTCACTGCAGATTCATCATTAATTGTAAAAAATGTACCGCTCTGGTGAGAGAGATTGATAATGCGGGAAATTGGTGAGGGGTAGGCAGGGGTACATGGGAACTCTCTGTACTTTGCACTCAATTTTCCTGTGAACCTAAAACTGCTCTAAAAATAAGTCTATTAAAAAAAACCCACAGAGAATGTTCACTCAACACAAAGAGTAAACCCTCATATAAACTATGGACTTCAGTTAATAATAATATATTAACATTGGTTCATATTGTAACAAATGTACCACACCAACGTACGATGTTAGTAATAGAAGAAACTGGGAGGTCGGGAATATTTGTGAACTCTGTACTTTACGCTCAATTTTTCTGTGAACCTGAAACTGATATAAAACAAACATAATTCTGTGACCTCTGGTGCCTGACGGAGCCAGAGCTCAGTTAAGATTGCTAGGTCCTATGCATGGCTAACTTACAACCCTTGAATAGACCCATTTAGTTTCACCATTTACCAGCCCCACTTGGAACAATCTCTTAATCTACCTTTTTTTTTTTTAACTTCTGCTACTGTCATTGAGACTCAACACCAGGTAATAAACTGAAATTTTTTAACATCATCACATTATCATTAGGAAGGATCCTAGAGCATTTCTAACTTTAGTTCCAATCCTAACTCATCTCTTCAATAGCTAGGTGACTTCAGTTCCTCATTTGCTGAAGAAGATAATTCCCAGTCAGCTCTCAGGTTATGGTAAATTTCAAATGAAATATGATATATAAAATGTTTCATGAACTATACAGTTCTTATATTGCTATTTGCTCATTCTGATACATCCATCCTGCCTTTGCTTAGCAAATTCTGACACGTTTTAAAACTAGCTCAAACGTCACCTTCTCTACAAAGCTGTCCTTGAATCTCACAAGGACACCATCACTCCATCCTACGTACTGCCAGATTTTTGTTCATACTTCTGTATAACACTTTATATTTTAACTTATTGTATATTTCTCCTAGCACAGACCATTTCATATATGCCTGTATTCCGGGGCACAGAGTAGGATTTCAATAAATGCTTAATGAATTAATAATAATAATATAAAGGTTCTGTTCCATTGTTCTTTGTTAACACAGGTACAGTTTGTGACAAACACAAATCAGCAAGCAACAGTTTCTTACATATTCACTTTTTACATACTGTTTGTTTATACAAATAATTTTTAATTATCTTTTTTTTTTAAGCAGACTCCTCTATGCTGAGATCAATCCTCAGTACTATACTAGGAAGAAAACTAGGTAGGCACTACTCAGAGTTCTAAACCTAGAACAATATAAATAAGATCTGATAAAACGCTCCAATTCCTGGGCTGCCTTCTATCTGTCCCTTCAGCCCATAAGATTCATAACAAAATGGAGACCAAATATAGTCTCTCTGTGAATGGGCTATAGCTGAATGCTGAAGACTTAGAAAGGATCATAGGAAAACAATTTAAAAAAATTAATCACTGAGCAGATCAAAAATCAGAATTAACTGCACGTTTGCTTAAGGAACAGAAAAATAAACTTCTGAACCTCAATAAAATCTCATCGTTGGGTTGCTGCAGGTGAGGCAGGTGTGGCGAGCACGTCCTCTCAGGGCACCCTTTGAGAACTCTCACAAACTAAAGACGAGAGGACACTTGGGGCAATGTAGAGTTTTATCTAATATCTAGGGCTTCCAACCAGAAAACAAATGAAGACTTAGTAAAAGGAGGTGGGGAAGAGAGAAAGAAAAGGAAAGAAGGAATGCTCGACATGCTTGAGGAAAGACAAAAAAATCTAAAAACAAACTGGATAAAGTTTGTCTTCAGAGACCCCTATACTTTCCTATCTGTAGATTTTCTGTTATATGTATACTGCCTCCCTACTTTGTGCCAAGGACTCTGTTAAGCACTAGAGTAATACAGATGATTAAGAGATTGCTCTGGAAAAACTCACAAGCTGTTAAGGAGCCAATCACAACCCAGTTCAATACAGTTATTTTCTTAATTATCAGGCCCAATCAACAGCATCACAATGCACTCTAAATTAAGAACAGCTTTTAAGAAATCACACTACCACATTAATCCCACTGTCAGATACACTCTGAAACTAGAAATATTAAAATTTGGGAAAAAATCATTAATTGATAAAATGTGGTAAAACACAATGATTAAGAGCATGCTTCTATCCCTACACCCACTATTGACTTGATCTTAGGCAACTAACTCTGAGGCTAAGCTCCCTTCTCATTAAAATTGAGGACAGGAACAGCAGTATCTACCTCAAGACATTGTTGCCAGAATTAAAAGAAATAACTCACATTAATCTCTTAGAGCCAAGCCTGGCATACAGCCAACTCTCAATGAATGTCTATTACTATTATTTTTATTTTTATGGCAAAGGCTGTAACAAAAGTCAGCAGAGTGCTCTGAGAAGAACATCAACCTCGACTGGTGAGAGAGGGAAGGTTCCCTGGAGAGGACTCTAGGAGCCGGGGGGTTGGGGGAGAGTGTGTCTATGTGTTTGTGTGTGCGCACATACGCGCACACACCTGTGAGGATTAGGTGGTAGGCACAGCTTCCAGGCAGAAGAAATAGTACGTTTATGGAGAAGCACAGGAGAAAAACAGTATATACTCCTGCAGCTTCCATTTCATTCATGGTATGCAATTTAAAGCATTTTGATAAGAAAAATAGGGAGATATTTTTAAATAGAAGGTAAAAGCTACATGAAAGATAAAAATCTGAGCTTTAGAATTCCCATCTTAGTCCAAACTAGACTGCTTCTGGTTGCTCCATAAGTGGGGAGTGAAAAAACTTTGCAAAGCATTGTCCTAAAAATGGGAGTGCTGATAACAGTTTTAAAGCATTATTACTGAACCATGCACGGTCTTAAACTGTAAGGGGGACACTTACAGACAAAAAGGCAAATATCTGGCTGGCCCCAAAGGAATGAGAACTCTCCTAGTCACTCAAATTCATGCATTTAGGCAGTGAGTGGTCTTCTGACGCCCTTAGGGAAAAGTCTGAATGTACTTCGAGGAAAGCCAACACCCCACGCAACTGGAGTGGTGGAAATATGCAGAAGCAAACTCTTCCAGGTCACATTCTTGTAGCCATCAGAAAAGATCCCCCCAAAAGTTATGGAGTCAAGGAAACAAGGATCACTCACCAGAGTGGGTCTGCATGGGACACACTGATGACAAATGCCTCTCCTGTCTGTCCAGAAAGAGTCCGCCCGCTTTTATCAACAATAGTCCCTGAAATCTGAATTAACAAGTCAACTCAGTCAATAATATAGATTCAGATTAAGAACACAGTCACAAAGACCAAATACAATGAGCAAGCTGACTTTCTTTGCTCTTTTACAAGGAAGAAAACTGTAGAACTCAAAGGCAGCACTTTTTATAATGGTCAGAATAGACAAATGCAAAGTGACTGGGGGAAGAGTTGGTGAGCCACAGAAACAAAGAAAAGAGAAAGTCACTGAGGCAAAAGCAATGACAGAAAAGCTCTAGAACTCACACAGCCAGTCCCACTGGAGAAGCTTTCCCACCGATTCCTCAGGTATCCTGGCCTCCTGCTGTTAAACATCTGAGTCTTCTAATACCCCTTGTTTTGACTACCTTACTCTCACCAAGGAATCTTAGAACTCTCCTGTGGGTCTCCCTATTGAGTTAATAAATGGAGTCTAGTGTCTTCAGTGTTGGGTACTCCACAGTCAGCATGCAAGGCCATCCCTCCTTGGGCCTAAGGAGAGTGAGCCTTTGGCTTCAGGGGACCAATTCAGCCAGGCTTCTTTGGAATAGTCTGCCTTCCACCAACCACCTCTAGATTCACTTTCTTTGTATTTCCAGAGACAGGAGTGCCATTAGTCTAAAGGTGGTGGTAGGAGGGAGGTGAAGAGAGGAAGTTAAAGTAGGTGGTTCCTAAACGAGACTATCAATAGTTCTACTAAGCAAGGAAAACAAAAACCCTACCCTCAAAATGACAATAGAAAACAAAGTTCATCATGCAAACATTTTAGAACTTACAAAGATAGGCCGAGGAGCATACTTCTCTTCAAAAAGATTTTGGATTGCAAACAAGGCTGCCTGTAGGGAAAAAAAGAAGAATACTTTTGTTTCTGAGAGTCTGTGTCCAAGGTCAGTCTAACTGGCTGATCAGAATGTTCCCTTTTGCAAGACCTCTTCAGATAAGATACACATAGTGTTCTCTGGGGAAAAGAAACGTCCTCCCTATAACGCACAACCCAGCTCCCCTTTCTCAAGTATAACACTGTACATATGAAAACAGAAAAATGCTGACTCAAAGTTCACCTACGAACTAACATTTCCTCAGAGGAGCAGCTGAAGAGCTCCTCTTTCTTCTTTCTCTCAATCAAGATAAATAAGAATGCCTCTGCCTTCCACATCCTCATATACACATGGTAGGTATATGAACCAACAGTGTGTGTCGCTGCAAAAGAGTGTGAGCCTAGAATGGGCTGCAAAGGTATAAATCCCATGTGACTCTGTACTGTCCATGTTTTATTAAGTTCCAAGAAACATATCTTGTCTTTCTTTTTATCATTGTATTTCTTGGTTCTAAGATGTGCATATTTTCATACATAATTAATTTTCTGAAATCAGAATGCAACCTTTAATTAACGTGTATCTTCACTGTGATGGTGAGGGATTTTTCCCATGGAAAGTTATTAAATCAACAATATCAGAATTTCTTCTGATGTTGGCCCTAAAGATCTTATGGAAAATAAACGTCAGAATAGCCAGGAAGGTTCTGGAAAGGCTGCATGGATAATGAAAAGCCAACCAGTAACTCAGACATTTTAATTATAATCCTATGATAAATAACAGGACAGTAGTGTGACATCAGCAGAGAGATGACTGGAATAGATCAGATCTGGATGAACTCTTGAATTTAGGATGATATGACATTCCACATGATTCCTGTCATTGGGAAATAACAGAATGTTTAACAGATGGCATTAAGAAAACTAGGTAACCTTAGAGAAAAACAGCAGTTAGGTCTCTACCCAGATCCCTACCCTATTCCTCACACCAAACTAATTCCAGATGCATCATGAGGGAAACCAGTCTAACTATACTCAAAAGAATGTTATGTTACACATACTAAGCTTAAAAACTGAACTAACAAAAGCCATCCTTAATGCTTCACTCCCTGCTGTAATAGCTCCCTTATTTCTAATCTAAACAATACTGTGACTCTTCTCAGATGTGTATCCGGATCTCATTTCAGACATATTCCTTATACGTTTGTTACTGCTCTTAGGTTCAAAATGTATACCTGAGTTGTATTTCAAATTATAACTTGTTTACTGAAGATTCACAAAGCAATTTCTGGTGAAGTATATAAAAGAGAACCATAAAAGTGATGTATTAAGAATGAGATGGGATAGTCATCCAGGTTCTGGCTGGTAGCCACTGCCCTCACACTTTGTGCATGCAAGTATTTCAGTGAATAAAAAAAAAAAAGGTTCCAAAAATTCTGACTTTGTAGTCTTATTTCCACAACATTTAAACAATTAAAGCTTTGATGAAACTGTCAAGTACTAGGGGATAAAGGAGACTATTTTTTCTCATTATCTTGGAATGGGGAGTGCCCTTGTAAATATAACTCCCTTCCTCCCAGAAAAATAGAATCTGTAAATTCAACCATACAAAATTTAAATTCTCATGCACCATTAAAAAATGAAAACAAATAAACAAAAAACATTGCAACAACAGCACCATCACCACCACATATAAAGTCAAAAGTCAAAATAACAAACTGGAGGACAATATTTACTACACATCCCTGACAAGGGCCTGGTTTCCTCAGTAAAAGATTTAATAAAAAAGACCAAAAATCCAATAGGAAAAAAGGCACAAGACACAAATCACAGAAGAGGAAATATAAATGGTTGTAGAACTAAAAGAAGACGCCCAATTTCATTTCTAGTCACAAAAATATAAATTAAAACCACAGAGAGGTAGCATTTTTAACCTATCAGATTGGAAAAGATCAAAAAGTTTAATAACACATGGTGTTAGAGAGGGTGGGGTGAAACCAGCAGTACTGTGCACTGCTTGCTGAGTGGATATAAATGAGTGCAATCTCAAAGGAGAGCAATTTGACACTAAAGATCAAAATTAACAATGCACATACCCTTTGACCTAGCAATTTCACCTGAAAAATTTATCCTTAGATACAGTGTGCAAAAACATACGTATAAAGGATATTTACTTTCCACTCCATACACTTCTGTACCTTGGTACGTATGTAAGGAACATAAACACACACACACATAGGCTCATGCACGCTTATATCTGCACAGAACCCCTCTCAGGAGCCCCACTGGTAACAGCAGTTGGGAAGGGAGGTGGATACCCAGAGATTGGAGATGGAAGGGTACTTACTTTTCACTCCATACATTTATGTATCTTTTAAATTTAGAATCACGCATGTATTTACTACTTATGCATATATGCACACACAGTAGCTATATATGAAAATATTTACTTTTATAATTTAAAAAAAGCCATTTTTTAAAAGTTAAAAAAATAACCTTTTGAAGTTTTTCCTCATTCTATGGACCTCAGTTAAAAATATTCAAGAATAAAATAGAGGAATTTTATTTAACTTTGATAATGGCCATCATTGTCTTCTCACAATATTAGGGCATTCACCACAGCCCCCATCCCAGCCCTGTCCCTTTTTTTCCCCCTTAACTCACCTTGGCATTGGCAGTATCAAAAATAGTTTCAACGAGTAAGATATCGACCCCACCATCTAGAAGCCCTTCGGCCTGCTCTTTGTATGCTTCAACAAGTTCATCAAACGCTGCAAAAAATAAATCACACCCAGGACATCAGTCATCGATACCCTCCGATTGGCCAGGACATGCTGAGCTCAGGCCTGGCAGCTGTGGACTGATAGTGCTGGTGTATAAGGCATAATGTAAGGACACCACCACCTTTCCTAAGACATCGAATAAAGACACACGGCAGTGACGGGAGTTAACCCAGCAAACCGAACACAGCTGCTCCTAAACGCTTGCCACGCAGCCTCCACTTCCATGGCTGAGCTGAGAATGAGTGAGTGAGGAGGGAGGCGATGACATCTTGGGCGCTGTGGCTTACTTTCAACATCTGTAAAATAGATCATTCTTTCCAAGGATGGTTTTAATCAATCAATCAAGGGATGAGTGTGAGGAACAATTACAGAAACGCGTCACACTGATTTGGATACAGGACAGGCTGAGTCACGTTCTCTGATACTCTCTGTGGTAAAAGGCCTGTGGATTTTGCTCTTGCCCTCTGATACCAACTCTGTCAGCGAGGAAACCTGCCTGATGGGCAAATCCAATCTCAAACAAGCGTTCAATCACTCCTAGGCAAAATTTTTGTTAGAAATGTCTTGAATTGTCTATTACCATCTGAGAGGTCATTCCTCTCCCCACTATACCTCCTTATGAAAACAGAAAAAAATGCTCAGATGTTCACTAAAGAAGCCTAAACAGCACATTTACGCTTGCTCTATAAGTATACTTCATCTTAGACAGCACAAGAGAGGAAAAGTTAGCTCCTCACCATTAGGCCCAGACCAAAGAGGGCACCAATTACACATATGCCCAGCAGAAGCCACCCCTGGTGAAAGAGTGTGGTCTCCACACAGAAAGTTCTGACTAAAATCTACAAACATTATTTGCCTGAACTTGTCATCTACACAAAATTTATTTCCATACATAGTATCATGACTATTCAGCTCTGACAGTTTGATTCCTTTTGCTTTTTGTAGTCATGATGCCCAAAAAATTGACCTAGATTTCTAGACTTTTTGTAAAATCTCAATGCAAGTATGTTTACATATGCTAGTATGTTTACATAGTTTGGACTGCTTTCTGATAAATAAAATGGGGGTGGTGGGTTATTCTATAATAGACCAAGGCCTGGTGTCCAGATTTGCTCAACTTCTCAGTTCAGAGCTTTATTTTGATTGGTTTTATTTCCATAGCTGATAAAGAAGCACTAACACAACACCATGTACATTTTGAAGCAAGCTCAAAAACAATAATAATAATAATAATTTAGATGTTTACTATATTCCAGGGACTACTAGAAGCCCTTTATGTGGATTAAGTCCCAATAACCCCGAGGCAGATCCTATTACTGGTCCCATTTTGCAGATTCATACATTACTGAAACACAGAGGCACTTGCCCACAGTCAATGATTACAAATGATAAATACTCACTGATGTTCCTATAGTCTGGTCTTTCCACAGATGGGGACACAGAGAGTGTCTTATTAGTTGGACCCAGAGCTCCTGCCACAAACCTCTTAATTCCTTTGGAAAAAGAAAAACAAGTGTGAAATCTCTAAATAGCTTGACCTTTCTGTCGAGAATCAATAGGCTATAAGATTTTCCCTAGGACACAGGTCTATACTCATTTGTTCACAACTCTAAAATCCAAAAAAGTGCCAAAGTCCAAATGTTTTTCTTAATTCATTTGACAACAAAACTTGACCTCTCCTGAACTAACAAGACGCTATTTATAGTCTTTATCCCATTTAGTGGGAGACTTATAGATTTTACTGTAAATATGTTTGGTTACGGGGGCTGTCCCAGATCCCACTGGGGAAATTATGAAACATAGGTGATGTGCACATATTATTACCAAGCCAATCCAAAAAAGTCTCTGAGTTCTCACACATCTGGCTTCAAAGTATTTCAGTAAGTAGTCCTTTTCTATCACCACAGCTATATGTGGACAAATTCTCTCTCTCCCTATTAAGAAACCCTAAAGATCCTGAACGCAACATAGTTCTGCAACAGCTCCTCACAGTAGCATTCAACCTGAAGTGCTCCCTGGTATGGCACTGTAGGCCCTTTCCTGGGGGAAGATATTAAATCAGGATTAACAATCATAAAGCCTGAAATTAAAGTATGAAGCAGTCTAAATCTTACTTTAATAACTCATAATTCTTGAATTATCTTTCCTCTAGGCTAGAGTCTAGGTGGTTCTAAAAGAGCCTGAGATGCTGTGTTCATTTACATATCATAACAGAAGCCAGGTTGATACCATCCATTACCTTTGGTGATTTTCTTTTATTTGAGGAAGATTAGTCCTGAGCTAACATCTGCCACGGATCCTCCTCTTTTTACTGAGGAAGGCTGGCCCTGAGCTAACATCTGTGCCCATCTTCCTCTACTTTATATGTGGGACATCTGCCACAGCATGGCTTGCCAAGCGGTGCATAGGTCCGCACCCAGGATCCGAACTGACGAACTCTGGGCGGCGGAAGCAGAATGTGCGAACTTAACCGCTGCACCACTGGGCCAGCCCACCTTTGGTGAGAACCACTCAGTAACTTAGGTTACGCTCTATAATTTAACTGGAGAAGACTACTGACTAGTTGATAACCCAGCCTTTGAACAGTTTACAGACCCACATATTCTTTATCTTCCCCAAAGCTGAATAATAATATGAGCATAAGAAAACGTTCTTATCTTTTCTCTGCTTTAGCTGGTTTAACAGACCCTCTGACCTGCAATCATGTTGGGGTAACAGTCTGTGCATTTCCATGGATTTAAACATTATCTCCCAGAAACAGAGTTCCTAAAAATTGCTTCAGTCGTCATTAGTATGCTGTCTAACTTCCTAACAATTTCGCTTTACATCTCTCCTGCTGACGATAATTTCACATTTCCAAACTTAAGGGGTTCCATATATTTCTTCTATTCCTTTCCCTCCCTCAAAGCCTCCCCACCAGCTGGTGCCCAAGTATGATGGCGGCCAGCCAGGAGGTTTCCTATTTCGGGAGCCACTTTTCAAGTTCCAGCAAGACTGAACCTAATGCCACATCCTTCTGTGTGCTACACAGAGCCTGCAAAGACATTAGTGATATGAAGTGGAAAACGTTCAAAAGACAGTATCTCTTTACCTAAATAAGCCAAACACAGGGATGAGGGTAACTTGAAGGGGATAAGATCAAATACCTTAATGAAAACCAAAATAACCAAAACAGTCAGCTGTTGCCTTAATAACCTGATAGTATGCTTCCAAAGAGAGAAAATGATTTTAGCTGTAAATATACAAGGGAGCCATGGTCCTAGCTACAAAGTTAGGACATAACTCCCAGCAGAGTAAACACAAAATAAACCTTGAGCCCAGGAACAGAGTTGGCTTAGAGATATGTTGAATGCTTGATCATGAAATGACAGAGATGTAATCTACAAACAAGTACGACATGGTGTCTGCAGTGTTGCTAGCAGCCAATTGTCATGAAAGGGGAAAATGTAATAAGGACAGCATATTATAGCTGACAACGTCAAAGGAATTACCTTTGTAAAAAGGGGAGAAAAACGTTCCTTACCTGTCTGGAGAGTGATCTCCTCAGCTGCTTTTCTGGCCACTCCTGCAGAGCACTTGTTCATCTGGTAGGCCTAACACATCAATCACAAATGTTAGCTTGTCCTTCTTTTCCTCCACACAATACATTAGGAATTCATGATCTTCTAAAACCCAGTTTTATTGAGCAAGGAAATACAGAGGGAATTAATTTACGGTCTGAATGAAATCTTAGCCACGAAGGCCTCAAAGGCAGCAGGAAAGGCAAGAGTCTTTGGGAACTGCTTTTCGGTTCTTCCCCTAAACCATGAGCCAGCTGGAGAACAGGGCAATCTCTGGACATCTGGCATGTTGGAGAATAAGCTGATGTAGTTAACTATTCTGAGAATTAGAGAAAAGTACAGTAATGAAAGGAGCACAGGCTTCAGAGCCAGGAGCCCTGAGTTCCAGGACCAGCTCTGTCACTGCCTGCCTGGGCAGCTTCCTTAGACTTCTCCAGGCCCTGACCTCCTTCACTGTAGAAGAGTTGGAATCACTGGTGCTGAACTTCCTTTAAATTAATTATTAACTTCTTGAGAATGTGGCACAGGGCCATGAACCCTCTCACTAGCAAACAAAATGCAAGTAGACACAAACACATGAAGTATTGCCTACAACCGAAAGAGGTTCAAAGACCTCCTGAGACCCTTCCACAGACCCGGTTGGGAGGTCCCGAACTTGTGATCTTCAAGATCCCGTCTAAGATCCTATGTGACTTGGATCCTCCTATCCAGTAATTAAGAAACCAGAATGTTCTAAAATAGGGGTTAGCACACTATGGCTCCTAGGACAAATCTAGCCTGCTGTCTGTTTTCATAAACAAAGTTTTATTGGAATACAGTCAAGCCCATTCATTTACCTATTGTCTACTGCTGCTTGTGCACTAAAACCACAGAGGTGAGTAGTTGCAACAGAGATTGTGTGTAGCCAACAAAGCCTAAAATATTTACTATCTGGCCCTTTTCAGACAGCCTGCCAAATCCTACCCTAAAATAACACAAAAGTAACTTCAAAACAAATTCAATTTTCCTTCATAAGGCAAAAGGCATGTAATCCCACAAAGCCCCATTACAGTGGGAGAAATCAGTGTCGGAGTGCTCTGGACTACCTGCATGGAAACAGGGGCATGTATCCAGAAAAATCCCACAAAGAAATGGGGTCCTCAGCATCTACGATGTACTTCCATCAAAAACATTTCACAAAATTGGAATAAGGAAGTATCATGTTGATTAAAAAGAAATCAAATCTTCCACCCCACACCCACTGGGATTATTCTTCCAAAAACCCAGAAGAATAACAAGTGTCTGTAAAGATACAGAAAAATTGGAACCCTTGTACACAGCTGGCAGAAATATAAAATGGTGCAGCCACTGTGGAAAACAATATGGTGACTTCTCAAAAAATTTAACATAGAATTACCATATGATACAGCAATTCTACTTCTGGGTATATACCCAAAGGAAAGGATATCTGTACACCCACATTCTCAGGAGCAATTTTTATAACAGCCAAAAGATGGAATAAACCCAAATGTCCATCAATGGATGAATGGATAAACAAAATGTGGTATATACATGTAATGGAATATTATTCAGCCTTAAAATGTAACGAAATTGTGACACATGCTACAACATGAGTGAACCTTGAGGACACTAAACTAAGTGAAATGAGGCAGTCACAAAAGGACAAACACTGTATGATTCCACTTATATGAGGTACCTAGAGGAGCCAAATTCATGAGAAAGAAAGTAGAATGGTGGTTGCCAGGGGCTGGGGGGAGAGGAGAATGTAGAGTTTTGTTTAATGGGTACAGAGTTTCAGTTTTGTAAGATGAAACGAGTTCTGTGGATAAACGGTGGTAACGGTACCACAATAATGTGAATGTACTTAATGCCACTAAACTACACACTTGAAAATGGTTAGGATGGTAAATTTTATGTAACATGTATATTGCCACAATTTAAAAAAAAGGACAACAAATCTGCCACCCAATATTTAAAAATCCTCACAAAACTGTACATCGCCAATCATTACACCTTTATCAACAGACACTGCATAATAAGTATCATTTTTACTTGAGTATTACTTGTCCATAAAAGAAGCCAGTTGGAAAATGAATGGGCTGCTGTGTTTATAAACAGAAGAGATTCAAACTATTTTCCCCATTTGACCACAAACACTAGATAACTAGGCGTCAGCTTGACTCTGCAGCTTCTGGTTGTTTTCTCACTAGCAACTACCAATGTGGCAAATGCTCAGGGACATCTTAGACAGGAGGAAAAACGGAATTCTTACCAAGCGTTCGAGCCCATAGTCAGCTTGGGCAATACTAGTGCTGCTAAAAGTATTTGTTTCAATGATATCCGCCCCAGCCAGCAAGTAGTCCTGAAACAAAAGACAGCACGTCAATACTCAGTTTAGAATCCCTGTCTCCCAACCATAAACATGTCTTCCATCATCATCACCACCAAGCACCTTTGGACCACTTACTAAGTGATGTAAGGCACTGCACTAGAGGCTAGGGATGCAAAAAGTCCTAAGGATTTCATAGAAAGGCACGTGGTGTAAATAAATGAACGCAGAACTTGAATTCAGACAAAGTTCACACACTAAGTTGTGTGAATTGAGTCAAGTTCCTTCAACTCTCTGAGTTTCAGTTCCCTCATTTGAAAGTATTATAACCCTTCTTCACAGGGTGGCTATTTGATGATATAGACAACACATCAAGTGTCTGGCACAGGATGGCACTCAACAAACATTAGTTCTGTTCCCTTACCTTCTCCCTGCTTCTAATCCTCAGCATCTGATCCTCACTGTGAACCGTACTCTCTCTGAGATCTCAGTTCTGACCACAGTTGTTTCCATCCACATCTCCTAGTCCCACTGAATCAGATCTGCACCCTTACTAGAATCTTGAGGAACGTGGTGGCCAGCTTCCTGTTTCCTCTGTTTGAAACCTTTCCTCCTCGTCTCACTCCTTGGACACCACCTCAACCTCAACGTGAGGAGCACTCTGGAATCCCTCAACCCCCGTGATTTTCCAACAGTGAGTACCCAGCCCCTCCTACGCTGATGAACACTGTTTGCAGAAGAGCTGGGAAATGAAAACCAAGATTTACACATTTATATCAATAAGTCACAAACATCCCAAATATCCATCAATAGGGAAATAGCTAAATAAACCATAATATATCCATTTTATTACATGCTATGTGGCAGCTAAAAAATATTGTGTACCTCTGCATATAATGACAAGGAAAGATCTCCAAAAATATTGTGGAGTAGAAAAACAAAATTGATATATAAAGCATGACACCATTAAGTTTAAAACTTACATACACACAAACAGTAATATGAGATTTCTACAGATATATATGTACATATATATATGTATACACATGTATACATATATAAAAAATGAATTACAAAATAATATGGAAAGATAAACACCAACTAATATACGTAGTTATCTCTGGAGAAAAAAATAGAAATTTGGAGTAGTGGTCAAAAAGGAATCTATCCTTATCTACAACTTTTGTTTTATAAGAACAAATTAAAATTTTTCAAAAAGGCAAGAAAAACTGAAAACAACCTTAATGCCTAAGAATAAGGAGATTAGTTAAGTAACTGACGATATATACATAGAACAGGTTATTGTGAAGTCATTAAAACCCTGTTTCAGAATATTTAATGCCCATGGTATATAAGTAAAAAATGTAAATTATAAACCCGTATGAAGTAATATAATCTTGATTTAATTTTAAAAATCCAAGTAAAGAAAACTAGACTGAAATGTAAATTAAAATGTGTGAATGGTAGTTACGTCTTGGTATTGATACTATAAGTGGTTTTTATTTTCTCCTTTACGCTTTTCTAGCAAGACCTTTTTTTTTTCCTTTAACAATGAGCACATACTGTCCTTATAATTACGGAAAAATATTTCTAAATTCCCAGTTATTATTTTCTCCAATTTTGTATAGGGTTGAAAATTTCCATAATATAAAGTTTAAAAGGTGTTTCTTCTAGCTCTGCACTCTCTCCACCTTCTTTCCTGGCTCAATATCCCACTCATGGGCTCCAGATATGACACCCCTTGATTCCAATCTTATTCTCACCAACTAAAAAAATGCCTGATCTGGAGTAAGCTATTTAATTTCTCTGCTCCTCAGTTTTCTCCAGAAAAAGCTGACAAGATCAAAGGAGGGCATTAACGACAGCATTTCTACAGGTTAACAGATGTTTTAAATATTGTTTCCTGTGGGTCTCAGCCTATCAATAATGAGGCGTTCAGCTAGAAAAGCCTGAGGCACTTAGCTGGGCTGCACTACTTGTTGGAGCATCACCTAAGCCAATGTTGTGGCTAGACTGGACCTTGTGTTTATTAGGATTGCAAGACAAACCTCAAAAACCACTATCAGGGGACTTTTGAAAAAACAAGGTTTATTACCTACAAGTCCTAGAGGATATAGGCATGGGGCGCCTGGGGCCACAGAGCAAGGTGGGCAGAGGATGCAGAAAGGTAAGTACACGAGTGTGAACATAGGGTTCTGCATTTAGTGGGATCGAGGGTGGGGTGCCTAGGTTTTGAGGGTTCATGCTTTATTGGAGAATTTAAAACATAAGAGCAGGAATTAGGGTATGAGAAGGGAAAAGCAGTCACTCGAACGGTCAGTTATCTGGGTCACCCAGGGCGTTCTGAAAGGGAAAGTTCATGGGTGGGAGCTGCCCGGTTCCTTCTTTAGTTGCTCAGCTAGTAGCTGCGTCATAGAGCTGGCAGGTGTTGATTCAAGATGGATGTCTTTGAAATGGGTGCCGCTGCAATCAAAAGCTTCATGTCAGGCACTCGGATTACAATCAAAGAAGCTTACTGTCAAGGCACTTTCACTACAAATATAACTTGGACATTCCATTAAAATTAAACATCAGGGGATCTGACCTACCATCACTGACTCCACTAGGAATAAGCGTGAAAGTAACCCAGTCTCTTTCCCTTCTTTGTCCATGAACACGACTTGGTTTCTACATTCAAACAACTCCAGCCAGTAAATATTCACCCAGGAATGCCATAGCCAGGTATATCTTATTGTATTTACAGCCATTTTTGCTTTATGTACCTATCATGGCAACCTTGTTGTTGTATCCAGATGCCTATCTAATACACAGGACAGCGATTCATTCCTTCAACAGTATTCACTGAGCTCTTACCATGTGTGAGATACTGGTCTAGGCAGGGGATGTGGAGTGAAAAACAGGCATAAATTCCTACCCTCAGGAAGCTTATATAAGGATAACCCATGTGAACAATAATGACAAAGCCACATGGCATGGTATTTCGTACGAGTTCATCAACTGTATTATAAGAATTGATATTTGTAACCATACCGAGCAATTCATACCCATGACAACATTCCCAATCAACAATATACTGAGATTTTACAATGGGATCTGACTATGTATTCTCACGGCCTAGCGGAAAAACTTAGTTACCATTCTTCCTGCAGAACCAAACCTGTTCAAGGACCAATTTTGAATCTTGCAGTACCTACAATTCCCATTATGATCAAAGCAAAGGCATTCTTATTTTCTTTCCAATGAAGCCACTCTGCATCTTAGCTAGACCAAAGTCTTGACCACCCAATAGAATGACCCCTTCCACACTCAATGAATCAATCAGTGAGTGAGTTGTTTAGGTGATTTTTTTTTTAAGAAGAGCCTGAGACACCTATAACAATGCACTTCTCCAGAAGATAAACCTTTCTCACTTACTGGTAAATATGCTTTGTCCTTCTAATTGAATCTAGACCAGGAAAAGAGATTAAATCACCTTATTATCTATTCTAGTAATAATTCAATAAAATTCCTATGATAACGTAGAAAACAATTTAATTCTATGTTTATTTTTAAATTTTAAAGTCTAGCAATACCCAGTTACTTGCTTCTGATCTCTTTATGTTGACTTGCCATTTTTACTGGAGACAGAAAAAGGGAAGGAAAGAACACGGGATTTCAAGTCAGTAAATCTCTCTAAGGTCAGGCAAGTTGTTTAACCTCTGTGATCCTCAGTTTCCAGATCTACAAAATGAGAATAATAACTCCCTTTCAGTTTTACTTCATCAGGGCCACTGTAGTGACTTAAATAAGACAGCGTATGTGAAAAGCCTAATGTGACCATGATTTTATGGCTTTTCATTCGAGAATAAATGCCTCAAAAGCAGAAAACCTACCTTCCTCACCTCCTTATCCTAAGTGCTCAACACAGTGCACGACTTTTATTTGGTGTCCAACACCTGCTTTTGGAACAAATCACTCTTTCCGTGCAGCGGTCTGCCCTCAGTGCACAAACGGCTTGTAGAATGACGGAATGAAAATGCAAGAACCTGGGGAGACTTTACCTTATGGATTTGGTAAATGACGTCAGGTTTAGTAATACTTAAAATGTCATTGTTGCCTTTCAGAGGCCTGGCGTGATCTCCAAATTCTTGACCTCGAAAGTCGTCTTCACTCAGCTTAAGCCGCTGGATCATGGTGCCCATCCCTCCATCTAGCACCATAATCTTCTCCTGCAGAATAGCTTCAATTTCATCCTGCAGGGTTTTCTTCATACCTGCTGTAAAGAAATTAAAAATTTGACTTTAAAAACTGAAGGGGAAAAAGAGGGCTGGAGAGGGAGTCTAGAGTAATTTAGAACAATTCACAATAAGGAGTAAATGGGTCTTATAAAAGACATACTCATAACTACAACACTAGAAAAATGCTGCCCCAAAATGTTTTGAGTTATAATAATGCCTAATACAATAAAAGCTTGTACACGGAGCAAAATCACTGGTGAAGCACCAAACCAAGATTAAAGTAGGCTGTAGTTATTCCTGTTTCAGAGATGAGGAAAACAGGCAGCAAAGAGCCAAGTGACCCAAGGCTAGGCCAGGCCACAGAAGAAAGTCTTCAGGGCTCTCTGTTAATTCTGTGCACATGCTCCCTCAGTAGGGAGACTTAGCGTGCATAATCAAAAACCACCAATAATTCCAAACTGCCATTTAAATTTTTAACTTTGTCTCCCCCACCTATTGCCAGAACTAATAATAGCCAACACACAGGGTTTTACTCACCTCTGTTCCATCTATGAAATAATAACCAGCTAATACCCTAGAACTTCTCAACTCTCCCCAGGTCCTTGACTTCTCCTAATTCCCAGCCCTGAAAAGCCACCAATGCCTACTCTTTCCAATCCTATTTTCTGGTTTCCGAGAACGACTAGAAAGTCACAAAACTAGATTCGAATTCTGATTAGAATCAATGAAAATCCATATTATTGAGCCTCTTCTTTGGCTCACCTTTTCTGGGTTACCCTCCACACTTCCTATATCTGCTGTCCCAAACCTCGGCTCTCTTTTAGCACCAAATCCTTCTCACCCTTTTCACTCTACAGGTGATTTCACCTAATCCTATACAAAGAAGCCTTCTGTTGGGCACTCCTCAAATTCACCACCCCCCACCTAACAATCTGCTTGCAGCTTGGCTCACTCTATTTTCCTTCTCTCTACACCTTTAAGGCCTGGGCTTTGCTTGCTCTGCAAAAGCCCACAAGCCCATTGCAACCGTGCGTCCTCTTGGCTCCCTTCTGAGCAAGACGCCCAGCTATTGGGATTTGTCACAATCTAGCGCCTAGACAGCCTGGATCCTACTGTATCTCACTTACAGAACATCGTGTCTTAAAGGGACAGAGAGCCCCTCCACATGAGCTACTGTTCCTGGGAATGCTGGTTGTACCCAGTAGAGCCCCTTGGCAAGCATATAGCCTTCATGTGCCCCGCCTATATAAGAAACCCCTTCCCCACCCGAGGTTGCAGGTGCACATTACTGTCCAGCCAGCTGCCACTGGACCTCCCTGTAAGTAACTCCCAATAAACCCATACGTCTCCTTCACCAACTCCGGGTCTTTTCTTCGGTCTCTCTGCAACTTATCCTGCACCGCTCACCCAACTGGGCGTGTGGCCAGACAGCACCTAATCACCACCATCCCAACACCTCCCATTGCTCATCCCATCTATCCCTTCCCACCTCCAGCAGTTATACCTCAACTTATCTTCTTGATGTGGCATCCTCCCCCACCACTCTACTGAAATTATTTTCTAAAGTCACCAATGACCTTCTAATTATCAGAGACACTTGGCCCCAATCTTAGACCCAGATATTGAACTGTCCACCTGATATCACCACCTAGAATAGCCACCTACCCCTCAACCTAATATTCAAAACCAAACCGGCTACATTCCCTGTCTGATCTCCCTCTTTCTGGACTGGTATCACCCTTCCCAGAAATCTGACCAGAAAATCTAGCTATTATCTGACTCTTTATTCTCCCAGATAACCAACATCTACTCAGATCTCAAGGCTACAGATTTGGCCTCCAAAATGCCATTCGCACTGGTCCCACCTTCCATCACCAATGCCAATCCTTTCTTCAAACCCTCACTACACATTCCAGCCATCACAAATCCTCTCCGAGCTTCAGGCTGCATTCAAAAAACGAAGAGTAACAATACCTGCTCTGCCCACCACAAAGGTTGTTTTACGGGTTAAAAGAGATCATAGATGTGACGATGTTTTGTCAACAATCAAGTGTCCTAGAAAAGTAGAGATCACCACCTCACCACTGTACCTCGTCACCTTGTTTTCAAATCCATCCCATGTCCCACTACCAGATTAATCTTCCCAAAGAACAATTTCAAACCAGTTGCTTCTCCTACTTAAAACCTTCAACAATACCCTACTGCCCACCAAAATTAATACAAGTTACTTAAAACAAATCACAATGACACCAGCCTGTCTTGTCAACCTTTCCTTCTGTGCTCCCTGAGAGAGAAGCAAAGCTCAAGTCAAATGGGGCTAGCTGTAAGCTTTTTGAGCTCCTTGGAGAAAAAGACCGAGTCTAGACCAACTCATCTCTATCTGTAGCAACACCAAGGAGAGTACCTGGCACTTAAGTGTTCAATAGATATTGCCTTAATTGAGATGGCAAAAAAGTGAGGGAAGAGGAGAAAGAAGAGGGGGTCATTTGAAGTCCAAACCAGTAATGTATGAATATTTGTAAGCTGGCATTGGGTGCAAATTTACAACCCTGCCCTGTCTGCCTGTCCAGAGTCTCAGGTCCACAATACAGGATCAGGGGCTAAATGGTGGCTACAGAGCTATTTTGACTGAATTACTCCACGTAGGCTTCAGGAAGGCTGCTCTGGTAACCTGCAAGGCAAATTTGCCAATATCTGGTTTCTTTCCCAAAGAGCATTGTTTCTTTCAGGGTGTACTATTCCTTTCCAAAGCCAACTCACTGGCTAATTCTGTTTATTGAGCTTGCAGGTGAGATAAACACTTCCTGAAAAAGGAACAAAGTCAAGATCCAATGATCTGACCAGTAGTACTTCAAGTACCAAAGGGACAAAAATCACTTTTTGGGAAATGTGAAGAAAAGGTAGGGCTTACTGAAACATATAATAGGAAGACTGCAGGCATCCGGCAGTGGTCTAGTCATTTCAAGCTAAAGTCAACAAAGCAAATTAAGGTGTGGCATTAATTTGGACATCCCATCATGTGACTGTCCTGTCAGCTGGGAAGCACTCAGAATCTGATTATGATTAAGCTAATGGTGACAGGATAACAAAAGCCACAAAATCCAGGTTTTAGTCCCAGCTCTCATAAGTTGCTATGGGGTTTTGGACAAGATTTCATGCTTCTGCAAAACGGGAAAATATCAGCTCTGCCTTTATCATAGCAACTGTGAAAATAAAATGAGATAATGTATTTAAAAGCATATTTCAGATGTTAAGAGCTGGGCCTCTCAAATCACACAAGTCATGAAATGAGACATATGTGCTTGACATAAACACCCCATCAATGTTTAACTACTCCTATTATGTCATTATTATCACATAGCTAACAAGAAGTGGAGCTAAGATTGAAACTCTAAAGGTTGTGTTCTATATACTACAAAGTCCAGTGGGCCATGAAAAAACATCATGTGAGCCTGCGGCTCTCATCCCTAATCATGCTGGGGCAGGAGGCAGGAATGGCATGTTTGCAGGTCTGGAAATGAACATCAGTCTGGCAAAGATGACAATGCTCAGTGAAAATAATTAAAGGGAGATAGTTTCAAATGGGGAATGGGAAGAGAGAAGATTAAAAACTTTAACCTATATGCCCAACTGAACTCCTTTCTTTTTTTTTAAGATTTTATTTTTCCTTTTTTCTCCCCAAAGCCCCCCAGTACATAGTTGTATATTTTTAGTTGTGGGTCCTTCTAGTTGTGGCATGTGGGATGCCACCTCAGCATGGCTTGATGAGCAGTGCCATGTCTGTGCCCAGGATTTGAACTGGCAAAACCCTGGGCCACCGAAGAGCAGCACGCAAACTTAACCACTCGGCCACGGGGCCGGCCCCTGTACTCCTTCCTTTTTAAAAGGATGTAGCTGCAGTCTACCCTGAAATGAGATCATGTGAGCTTAACTGGGTGACCGAATCAACAGACCAGTGGGAGCACAAGGTGAGGACGTGGGGGAAGTAGGTCACACATTCGAAATTTAATTTTGAAAAGTATTCAAACCTTCTAGAAAAAATGCAATCTTTTCCACAAACAATGAAGTATGTCCTTTGGCATCAACAAAATGGTCAATCAATATTATATTATTTACTTGTCTTTGTTCTTCTATCTCCTCCAATAAGCAAGTACACACATGTTTAATGGGGACAGGAAGAAGAAAGGACAAATTAACATAACAACATAAGAAATGCAGTACCTTCTCCCACCATGAACTACCTCATCAGTGTTGGTTTGGCATTTCTCTACTCACTATAAATCTGACAATGGGGTGTGCCTCCACTACTCCTCCGATTTTCATAAAAAGTCTAAGCACTTTTCCATGGGGCCTCTACTGTATTCACTTTTCACTCCAGAAATATAAACTGTTTTCAGTCTTTAAGACAGTTCACTATTTACCATAAAACAACCCCACCCCCACACATACAAATTCTAAGATCTTAAGAGTCCTCGTATATGCAAGAGATCAAAGGTTTTTTTTAAACTCTAAACATCTCATTTTCTTATAAGAAACTTGACAAACTTATTCTATAACTAAAAGCCCAGAAAAAGCTAAATTAACTTTGAAAAAGTGGAAAGAGGCAACTTGGTCCATCAAATATGATATACTACAAAACCATATCATAAAATTAGGAAAATTTTTATAAAATATAGAATGTCTTTATTATTTAGAATAAGGAAAAATTTCTTAAGACTCAAAAAGCCCAGCCTATATGTTAAAAGAAAAAAAGATGAATGTGACTACACAAAAACTAAGGATTTCTGTCAAACGAAAGTCACCATAGACAAAAGTAATGAACAGATTATGGATTGGAGGAAGATTTTGCAAGGTCTAAAACTGAAAGGGACTAAAATCTATTCCTACAAATCAATAAAAAAATCAAATAGAAAAATGGGCAAAAGGTATGAATAGGCAAGTCGAGGGAGAGGAAAACTCCTCTCAACAATCAACAAGTATATGAAGAGATGCTCAAGCTCATTAGCTATCACAGAGATGTGAAAGAAAATAAGATGATACCAATTTATACCCAGAAGATGGGCAATAATTAGGGGACCTGATAACGCTAAAGAAAATCTGAACCCTCAAAGACGTACATAGGAATGTAGACAGATACAGCCATTCTGAAGAGCAGCTTAGCAGGACTCAGTAAAATAAAGCACGTGGGTATATTTCCCAGACAAAGTCTCACACAGATCCATATAGAACACAAAGGAGGATGTCTGAAAGAGTGGCAAGTTGGAGATAACCCTGGGAAACGGCAAAGCAAAATGTGGTGAATACTCATGTGGAATACTACATGGTGGTAACCAGACATACCACTGTATTGCTGTAGTGTAAGGACAGAATACTGAGTAAAAAAGTCAAAAATGGCTAACTCCCAAGATACTATTTATATAAATTAAAAATACACATATACACAGACTAGAGTCTACAAGGACATGTACAAATACATGGAAATATGTGAAACAGGCTGCCTAGGGGAGCAAGAGAATTGTGAATAGAAAATAGAGGTAAAGGGAATACATAATAAAATAAATACGAATAGGAATTCCAAAGATTGAATACAAAACAACTCTGCAACCGAGGTCCTTAAAACTCCATTGCTTCTACATTATCCTCATGCTTATTTATCCTTTAGGGGATAACGTAAGATTTCTCTTTTAAAGAAACTAAAGGGTATTCCTCCCAGATTTCTTGGTGTAAGTGATCACTATTCTTATCCTTATGTATTCCCCAAGCTTTTCCAGTAGGGGATTATCTTTCAGTGGCTTCTAAAAGTGAAAAACCAGTTGTATGGGTATAAAATGGCTGTAAGTGTATCGGTTGTTAACCCTCATGATCGCGTGGCTGACTGGGAGCTGTAGCTGGCTACCACTGCCCAGCATCATGAGAGAGGATCATCCCACATAACGCCAGCCCAGGGAAAGATCAAAATTCAAACTCAAAGTAGTTTCTATTGAACGCATATTGTTTGGGCACCATGATGAAGTCAAAAAAATCCTAAATCAGGGACCATCTGTATACAGATAACGCAGTCCAGAGAAGAGAGTCCAAGGAAGGTCCTTGTCTAGTGAGCCTAAGAGATTAACAGTGTTCTCCCCAGTTTGAGAGGACTTGTCAATATATTTTGTTTATTCAGATGATATTTTTTTCTGCCATTAACATTTTAGTTTCTAGCTAATGATATTTTGACTCACAGAAGTGTTCCAGAGGATAAAAAAGTGTGGGATTAACTGGTTAAAGCACCAATCAGATGTCAGGGGGATAAATCGCATAGTACCACCTTTAAGAACTATTCTAAAGAACGACAAAATGAAGGCATAAGCAATAAGCCCCTAACATGTGGATTTAAGTAATAAATTACAGCGTCAGGAACACATCTCCTCTGGAGATATAATGATCCCATGTAGGTCTGACTGACTTAAGACTCCCAGATCCACTGTGCTAAATGGGGAACACACAGGGCAAGGAAAAGAAATTTTTATTTTCTGCACTATAAACAAATGATGCTAATACTTTCTCAGCAGTTTCCTACTTTTACTATATTAAAGACCATTTTACTGCTGCCCTACAAGTCCCTTGCAAATACTTCTCAATATTCACTTTTGAATCTCTTATTTCTAGTTCACACCAACTTGCTACACTCTTTTATTGCTTGTGCACTATTCCATTTTTGAAATACATTATTTCCCCTTTGATTTTAATCAGACAGAGAAGGATTAAGAGATATATAACTGGCTAATATCAATTTACTGGTTCACTTACTTATTTTTTCATTAATCATTCATCAACTGAATTCCAGATAACACGCATAATACTAGGCAAGGATGAAACCGAGCAATCTTTAGTTAAAAGTTTTCTCACAAGAAGTATTTACTGCCCCACCAGCCTCCTTCCTAAGGGGGTAAAACCATGGTCTGATGTCATGGACATTTAGCCTTAAGATCCAACCTTGAGATTCAGGAATCTCCAGTACTTCATTAAAAAGCTTCACTAAGACTGGACACGGTGAGTGACTAAGGGTTTTTAGGAAGTTAAAACCTGATTCTCATCCCAGCATACAGGTTGCCCACACAGAGAGAAGCAGAAATATACCTGAAGTCTTTTCTGGGCCCAAGGGCCTGGCTCAGAGCTCCTTCATGGGCCCTAGACTTGCTTAAACCGGGGTCCCTTGGTGCTCAGCTGTGGAGCTGAGCCTTCGGGCAAGGAGACTGCACTAGGTCCAGACACTCAGCAATTTTCCTTCAATTTTCTGTAAAAAGATCACTCACTATTCAAAGTATTCTAACTCTTCAGATGAACTTTCTGATGAAAAGGAAATCAGATATTTCGGTTTTTAATTATATGGGGAGGAGACAGCCAGAAGTCTTGAGGAAGAGATATTACTCAAACAACCATACAATACCCCCTTGAGAGAGACAGGTCACAGTTTATAGCAACAGTGATAAAACGTCTCGGTTACAGTTCCACTAGGTTCATGAACAACTCTAACAGTCCCATTTATCAGAACCAGAAAATCAAGAGGGTCACTAGTTCACCTCTGAACAATTTCCTTCTGAGTTATGAATTTAGTATTCACCTTCCTCCTGGAGCTGAACGTCCTCATTCTGTCACAGCACACCTACTGCTCCTTATTTCTGATTCTGTTTCTCCATTTCCTACCTCACTCCTCAGATGTTTTTCTGGGTGTATTTGTCCACAAATTATAACCTAGGATGACCTTAGAGAACTACAGCTCATCATAAAGCTAAAATTATATTCAGTTCCTGTGCTAGTTTTTTCTCAATGCAAAGCCACCAACATCAAAATCACTTGAGATTCCTACCCCCCATCTCCACCTACTATCTGCTCATCTATTTTAACATAAGGACTCTGTGGACACAGGAGTTTGCAGAACTACTGTTCTAAACCTGAAGTGGAAAATAAAAGTTCCACGTAGTTATAAATAGTTCTCTGGGTTTCCTTATTTCTCTCTCAGCATCTGAACTTTCTTCGGCTGAGCACAGCAGGCGCCTAATACTTCTTGAATAAGAACACTAAATCATGCAAAACTTCCACCCGTCCTGCAGGAACATGCTCCATCAAACTGCAAAGCTGAGCTACTTCGACCGTAGGAGGGTGTTTCGGTCGCACGGGGTGGTGGCTTTGAGGGCGTGGAAGGTTCGTTTGCCTGGGGAGGAAAGCGTGCAGGCGGGACCTCGGGGCTCCTGCCCAAGTTCGAAGGGGCCGGCCGCTCGCCCGCGAGGAAACATGGCCAGGCGTGTCCAGCCCGCACGGAGTGTCAGCCCAGGGACTAGGAGGCCACAGCACCAGTCAACGGAACCGCGGAGCCCGGGGCGCAGCGTTACCGGATGGCGTCAGGTCTCGGAGCGCGGGTGACATGTCGCGGAGTCTCCTCCTCCTCGGGCCGGGGACGCGGCGGGGAAGATACGCTCTCCACAGGCGACGGCCGAGAGCGAAGCCAGCCAGCGCCGGGCGAGCCTGACACACAAGGCTAGGGCCTCTTGCCCCTCCCGGAGGCCCAGGAAGCGGCGGGCACTGAGGGCCCCGGGGCCTCCCCGCACCAGCGCGCCACGCACTGGGCCACGCTCGGGGCCTGGGCGCGGCGCCGCGATGACAGGCGGACCCGAGGCTGCTCCAGCTGCTCAAGCACGTGCTTTCTTCCCGGTCACCTGGCCTGTGCCCGGCGCAGGCCTGGCAGGCAGACACGTATGACCAGAGACCAGGTCGCCCACAGAGCGCGGAAGCGGCCCCGAAGACGAGGACCACGTGGCTAACGGCGCGCCAGGTGGAGCTCTCAGTCCCCTAAGGTCTTCGGACAACTTAGAATGCTCTTAGTTTCTGCGATCAATCTAGCCTCTGCGCGGGAGGTCCCGCCTCCTCTGGCCTGTGATTGGTCTCTACGAGCCCGCGGCTGTAAAAACTGATCGATCTCAGCCAATTGCCTGAGATTTCGCCCCAGGGATCTCTGGGAGACGTAGTCCGGCAGCCCAGGCCTCCCGCGGAGGCTTTGCGCATCCCTACGCCTAGTATCCGTAAGTGCCGTCCCGGTGGCCTCTCCAGGTTTAAGTCGTGGTGCGAAGTTGGCGCTGGCCTCATCATGTTGCGTGGTGTCAAGAGCCCGAAACCTGAGTCAGAAGAGCACATTCTAGTCACGTTTTGCTATTGGCTGACGCTGGACAAGACACTTTAACCTCTTAGTCTCTATTCTAAACGCTATAAAACAGGAAATGATGGTGGTAATAATTACTGTTTTATAAGGTTGTAGTAGGGATTAAATGAGACTGTGTGAACGCGCTGTGAAAATTCAGAAGTACACGTGTGCATGTTAATTGTCACTTATTGGCAGTAAACATTTATTGAGTGCCTACTGTGTGTCAGGCATTGGGCTACACATTTGGAATACAAAGATAAACAAGACACATCCATCCCCACCTCTGTCTAGGAGGGGAACCCATATCCTAGTTAAGACTAATAATTAAACAGGAAAAAAAAAAAAAAAAAGAACCACATACAGTGTGCCAAAAGAGCAGCAGTACTCCTATTGGGGGAAAACTTCAAAGAAGAAGCCGGGTCATGAGGGAAGAGCGTATACCAGGTAAGGCCCTTCCAGTGGGTGGAACACAGCACTTGAGAGAATTTAAACATAAAGAACAGCTCTGTAAGGTGGAGCATGGTAGATGGGAGGAAAAGCAAATGAATCTAGAAAAATAAAATCAAGACCAAATTATGAAGTTTACTAAGCTTTAAAAAAAAGCACAAATTTGCATTCTCATTTTACTGTGTGTAATTATACCTCAGTTTTTAAAATGTAAATAATAATAATAATAATAATAATAATAATAATGTGTATAGCATCCTTACCAAAGATGGTCATACTTGGAGGGGGAAAAATGGAGTGAGTTGTGAGAGAACGAAGTAAAGAAGGTACCAGGGATGGGACAGCTCTGAATAGTTGAAGGTCTTGTTGAGATTATAAAGGCTAATTTTTAAATTATCACCTATCTCGCAAAGTATGTTGATGTGTCTCTTAAAAAATAATCTTTTAGGCACGTAGTCATTTATTAGCGCCTATCCTGGCAGAAATTCCAGGAATTGTGCATCAGTCTTTGTTTTTAGCAAGTCATCAGCAGTTTACTTTCTCAGCTAAAAGTGACCAAATCCAGTATTTTCTTAGTCATAAAAGGATAGCAAAGAAGATTAAAGGAATACATAGTGCCTAAACAGGCAGTGAATTCCTAGTACAAAAACTCACACAACTTAAAGAATAAGTTCCAAGAAAACTGTTATTGGTTGAATTGTGTTCCCCAGAAAGACGTGTTGAAGTCCTAAACCCCAGTTCTTCAGAATGTGGACTTATTTGGAAATAGGGTTGTTGCAGATGTAATTATTTAAGATGAGGTCCTACAGGAGTAGGGTGCGCCCTTAGTCCAATATGACTGGTGTCCTCATAAGAAAAGGAGAGAGACACACAGGAAGAAAACAGCCATGTGACAGCAAAGGCAGAGATCTGTGTAACGCGTCTACAAACCAAGGAACACCAATGATTGTCAGCACACATCAGGAGCTAGAAGAGACAGGGAAAGATTCTCCCCTGTAGGTTCAGAGGGAGCGTGGCCCAGCTGACATCTTGGTTTGGACTTCTGGTTTCCGGAACAAAACATTTCTGTTGTTTCAGGCCACCTATCTTGTGGTACTTTGTTTCGGCAGCCTTAGGAAACTAGTGCAAATACATCTGTCGATGGAGTGGGACCACCAAGGCAAAGCCTCATTTCTCTGTCTTTGTTGAAGGGAACCAACTATCTTATTGGTGATAGTCCGCTAGTGCACCCCCACCCTCAGCTTCACCCTCACCCCCACTAAGCTCATCCAACATGAACCCTTTGTGTAGAGGTGAAGCTCTCTAGGCTCCTCCCCTAGGTGGTTTCGGGCTTCTTTTCCCAATGGACTTGTCTTCAAAGAAAAAAGCACTGATTGGTGAACCTAATTATCCAACTCTTCCCTGTACACCAACCAGCATTCCAGCTTTGTACATTATTCTGTGGGCTTGATTATGTGTGTCAAACCCATTAGATTGCTTTTTGTGTCCTGCTCATCAGGGTTCTGAGAATATAAACTGACGGCCAGTTCTGGAACAAGGTATTGCTACCCCTGGGGTATGTCAAGTGACCATTGGCTTTCCCCAGAAGATCCCTGACTTTGCCACAAAGGTGAGTCCACTACCTCCTTCCCTCAAATCCTTTCATAATCTCAAAATTTAGACCCACCCTCAGAGTCACATAGATCAACAAGCATTGTGACTACCTGCTTGGATTGTACTAAAAGAGCTGAATTTACTGAGTCTGTGGGATGTAGTCTTGGCTCCAACACAAGGTAGTAAAAAAGAATGTAAAGGAGATTTGCAGTTATTTTATTGTGACCAATAGCACAGGGGAGCCTTGCTCCCCGTTTCCTCCTGCACTGAGAGACTTAGCATCTCTCTCTGTAGGACTTGACTCCTGGTGGAATCAGTTGGCTCATTTGTGCAACTTCCGCCAGTGACTCCAAAAGCATTCTTAATTATCAGAAGATAGTTCATCTTTTACCTGGCTAATATGCCAGCACGTGAATGTAGACATCATTTGACTAAAAGAAAATGCAAAAATGCTTTTTTCTAGTTACATGATAATACTGGCTATCATGCGTTGAACTCTTAAGGTCGTAAGTGCAATTTCTTATTTAATCTTCATTCTATAAAATAGGGTTCATTTAGCTGTCCCTATTTTAGAGAGGCAGAAATTAAGCAAGAAGAAAGTACCCAAGGGCTTATAGAACCAGAGAATGGTGGAGTGGGGACCCATGCAGCCCAATCCTGGAGGCCAATGCAGTAAGTTATGGGTTACGCAAAAGCTGAATTTCAAAAGCTGAAAATACCAATATTCAGAAGAGAAAGAGGAGAACATTTGTGGATTGAATTGCAAGGATTGCTTAAAAACTTTTCCAGAAAATCCAAATAAAGTGTGGAGGGTTTTGCTTTTTTGTCTGCTTTGATTGCATTTTTTGGGTTTTGAGGGGTTTTTGTTTTGTTTTTTTGGTTTTGCTTAAGAGTACAGGCAAATATTTTTGTTTAATAGACAGGAATGTGGTAATCAGCTTAAGATGGTGAACTGAGAGCTAAACTTGATAGCTGCTAATTGCTAATCTATCTTACTTTTATAAATGAAATTTAAGGAGGGGAAAGTGATCTGACAAACACTTTTTAAAGTCTTATCTTTGAATCTTGGAAATTTATATCATAAACATGGAGTGAAACCAGAAATAATTTTTACATCGAAAAGAGTTCAATGAGAACAAATTCTTTTCTCAGAACTGCAGAAAAAAATTGGTTAATGTTCAATGCTTAAAGAGTTCGGCAATCTAAACCAAATTAATATTTTGGTTTTGTTTTCCTTTAAAGGGAAAATTCTAAAACAGAGGTGATTTAAAAGAATTGAGTGGACTAGCTAGTATTGTTTTCTGGCCCTGCCTGGAAGGTGAGGTACAATGAAGATAATCAAGCTGAAACCTAGAATTTCTATAGTAGTTGGGACATAATTCAAAGTCATTAAAAGGTAAGAGTGATTGGGATACTGGCATTTAAAGATCCAATTGTTGAAATCCCATCAATTGTTGGAGCATTTATTTATTTAACAAATATTTATTGACACTGTTACGTGCCAGTCACTGGAGCTAAAATAATGAGACACACAGACCCAGGTCCTGCAGCCTAGAGGATAAGACGAACAATAATCAAATATATCATTAGAAAGCAAATTAGCGTCGTGGAGGAGGCTCTCTATAAGCTAGGTGCTGGTGTTTTCCTTGTTTTACTGATGAAAAACCCAAAGTCAAAAGGTGGCAGGTCAGAGTGCAGTAGTGTTTACCAGTAATTGATCACAGCCAGTTACAGATTTCTTTGCTCCTTCTCTACTCGCACTGCTTCACTTGACTAACCTAGAAGAAAAAGGAAAAAGAGAGCGGCGTTAAGCAACTTGCCCAAGGTTACACTTCTAATAGTTGGTGCTGCTGGGCCTCAAACCTAGGAAAACTGGTTTCAGCATTTATGTACTTTGTCACTAAGCTAATACTTTCTTTGAACAGCTGATGAAAAAGCCCTCTCCCCAGAAAGATAGACACACGTGCTTGTAATTTTACTTGTTACTCAGATTCCCTGGCCTTCATTTATAGTGTGACACGAGTTTATAAAATGTTGCCGTGTCCTTACAGTTAAACAAATGCCATCTTCATTCATGAAACCCTGAAATTTTCAGCCTGCTGCAGTTGCCATGGAAGATATTCCTACTTGGCTCTTTGGGACAGGTAAAAATTTAATGTTTAGGGGAAGATCACCAATATCATCCCCAGAAGAGTTAGTACAAGATCTTCATCTGGTCGGTCAGGTGCCTTGCCTGCTACACTGTGTGCTTTTGCCTTGCATACTTAAGTCTTTCATTCTGTTTAAGAGTCTTATTTAAGTACAGACTTTTTATGTCTTGGTCCTAGCTATATCTACAGCAACATCTAACATCTGGCACACAGTGGCAAGTGAAGAAATAATGTTTGCAAGAATAAATTACTAGAGAAATGTGATAGTCACCCTTTTGGGACATTATCAAATGAACACTGACAGCTTAACTTCCACAGCAGACTCTTTACAGAAGGCAGAGAGAGGGTTTTGTTTTGCTTTTTAACCAGGATGTAACTGTTTTTTCTTCTTATTCTTCCCAAAGACCCCCGTACATAGTTGTATATTCCAGTTGTAGGTCCTTTTAGTTCTTCTATGAGGGACGCCACCTGAGCATGGCTTGATGAACGGTGCTAGGTCCGCGCCCAGGATCCGAACTGGCAAAACCCTGGGCCGCCGAAGCAGAGCACGTGAACTTGGCCATGGGGCTGGCCCCACCAGGATGTAACTTGAAAGCTATAGTCATTCTCTGAAACTGGAAATATGATTCCTTTATTTGCCAATGGTGAAACAAATCTCACTAAGTTGACATTAAGTAAAGCAAAATAATCCCCAGGTCAAGCTAACTGTAATTTGATGAAAGGTATTAATCCTGGTAAAGAATCCCCATGCCCCTCAGAAAAATGTGGGAGATGGAGTGGGGCTGAGTTTGGTTAGGAGTGGAGGCACAGAGAAGGAACTCAGGAATATCCACCTTGCTAGTGGGATGTTTAACTGTGTTCTTGAGATGAAGGTGCAGCCAGTACTATAATGGAGATTCCACACCTCAGTCTGTCATGGTTTGACAACACTAGTCTTCAAAGTCATCCAGCTATTGCCTGGGTGGCCAGTAAGTCCTTCTCAGGTCACAGACAACCATGTTGGGATTACTCTTTCCATTTAAAGTGGATTGACACTATACCTGGTATTTGATTAAGAATACCCATGTATATTATTTACTTCTAATAGTATTTAAGGTAGCCTTTACATTTGAATGGCCAGTTGGTAATAAGGATCTTAATATAAAGTTCTTATTAAAAGCATTAATTTGGATGTCTCACAAAAATGAAGTATTGCCTGAAAACACTAAAATTAAATAATGTATATTTTTCTTCAAGTAAGTATTTAATCACCAATTATTCATTCATTCAATTTGCCAAACACCATCAATTTACTTTGCAGGGTTAGTTCTGTAGTGTGTTAAATCTTGGATTTTTTTTTATTAGGAAGCAATTTAATTTCAGAGAAATTGAAACCCATGGCATTGTTCAGATTATCAAAATGTATAATTAATATTGACAGCAGAGTTTTAGAAAATTCAATTAAACTGTTAATTAAGTGCCTGAAGGGGTAAGCACTATGTCAGGTGCTTTGGGCAATACAAAGATGTTCGAAATAGAATTCCTTCCCCAAAGATCCTGCAATGTAGACCAAGAGAGATTATAAATGAATAGGGCAAAGCAGACCATAATAAATGGGAAAAGGGAAAGACAAATTAAAAGCTACTGACTAGAGAGAAGGAAGAAGTTCATTCAAAATATGAAGAAATGAGAAGGATTCATGGAAAGTGATGGGTTTGGACTGCAATGTAAACAATCAGTGCTATGGGCTGAATCTTTGTGCTCTGCCTCCCAACCCCCAAATTCATGTGTTGAAATCCTAATGCCCAATGAGACAGCATTAGGAGGTGGGGCCTTTGAGAGGGGCTTAGGTTGAGAGTGGAGCCTCTATAAATGGGATTAGGGCCCTTAGAAAAGAGGCCAGAGAGTGCTCCCTTGTCCCTTCTGCCATGCGAGGACACAACGGGAAGTCTGCACCCTGGAAGAGGGCCCTCGCTTGACCATGCTGGCACCACGATCTTGGACTTCCCAGCCTCCAGAACTGTGAGGAATGTATTTCTGTTGTTTATAGGCTGCCCTGTCTGTGGTGTTTTGTTGTAGCAGCCAAAACAGACTAAGACAAATGGATAGGAAAGAAAAGAGTATTCCTTGGTGGGAATGCATTTTTTGAAGAAAGGCACATAGATAATAGATGTTCTAAGACCTACCATATGTAAAATCTCTTTCTGCTGCTCATATACTTGAATAACGGGCTGGCTCCCTAGGAAATCCTTGAATCACAACCTTTTCCCCCCAAAGCTGACTGCTGTATTGTCCTTTGTTGAAACAGCTTTATTGAGATATAATGCTCATAACGTGCAATTCTCCTATTTAAGGCATACAATTCAATGGGTTTTGGTATATTCCATTATTAATTTTTTGAATTATGTTAAAATAATATATAATAAAATTGCCATTTTAGCCATTTTTAAGTATACAATTTAGTGGTACTAAGTGCATTCACAATATTGTACAACCTTCACCACTGTCTATTTCCAAAACTTTTTCACCACCCGGTTACAACTGAAACTTTGTAACTGAAACAGTTACAACTGTTACAACTGAAGCTTTGTAACAGTTAAGCAGTAACTTCCCATTCCTCCTTGGCCACCCCCCGGTAACCTATAATCTTTCTGTCTCTATGAATTTGACTACTCTAGGTACCTCATGTAAGTAGAATTATACGATATTTGTCCCTTTGTTCCTGAGTTATTTCACTTACCACAATGATTTCAAGTTTTGTTCATGTTGTGACTTGTATCAGAGCTTCGTTCCTTTTTTCTCTGTGAGGAAGATTCACCCTGAGCTAACATCTGTAACCAATCTTCCTCTTTTTTTTTTTTTTTTTTTTTTTGGTTTGAGGAAGGTTAGCCCTGAGCTAACATATGCGCCAGTCTTCCTCCATTTTGTGTGTGGGATACCTCCATAGCATGGCTGATGTGTGGAGTAAGTCCATGCCTGGGATCTGAACCCACAAACACAGCCACCAAAGTGGAGCACGTGGAACTTTAGCCACTTGGCTGTGGAGCCAGCTCCGCTTCATTCCTTTTTTAAGGCTGAATAGTATTCCATTGTACAAATGTACTGCATATTGTTTATCGGTTCATTTGCTGATGGACATTTGGGTTGTTTCCACCTTTTAGTTATTGTAAATAATGTTTCAGTGAACATTGGGTTACAAGTATCTGTTCAAGTCTGTGCTTTCAGTTCCTTTGGGTACATACCTAGGAGTTGGAATTGCTGGGTCGTATGATAATTCTATGTATAGTTTTTTGAGGAACTACCAAACTGTTTTCCATAGTGGCTGCAGCGTTTTACATTCTTACCAGCAATGTACAAGCGTTCCAATTCTCCACATCCTTGATAACACTTGTTATTTTTCATTGTATTGATAATAGCCATCCTAACAGGAGTAAAATGGTATCTCATTGTGGTTTTGATTTGCATTTCTGTAATGGTTAGTGATATTGAACAACCTTTCATGTGCTTATTACCCATTTGTATATCATCTTTGGAGAAGTATCTATTTAAATCCTTTGCCTATTTTTTAATGGAGTCGTTATTTTTTTGTTGTTGTTTTATTATGGGTGTTGTCTATGTATTCTGGATATTAATCCTTAATCAGATACATGACTTGTGAATATTTTTTCCCATTCTGTGAGTTGTCTTGCATTCTCTTGATGGTATCTTTTGATACATGAAAGATTTTAACTTTGTTGAAGTCCAATTTATCTATTTTTTTGTTTTATTACTTGTGCTTTTGGTGTCATATCCAAGAAATCATTGCTAAATTCAGTGTCATAAACATTTTCTTCTTTGTTTTTTCCTAAGACTTTTGTAGTTTTAGCTATTAAGTTAAGGTCTTGTGATCCATTTTGAGTTAATTTTTGCATAATTTTGTAGGGTTCAAATTTATTCTTTTGCGTGTGAAATCCAAATTTTCCCAGCACCATTTGTTGAAAAATCTGTCCTTTCCTCATTGAACGGTCTGGGCACCCTTGTGAAAAATCAATTGACTATACATTTGAAGGCTTATTCCTGGCTTCTCTATTCTCTTGGCCTGTATGTCTATCCTTATGCCAGTACCACACTGTTTAGCTTGGTAGTAAGTTTTGAAATGAGAAAGTGTGAGTCCTTCATCTTTGCTCTATTTTTTCAAGATAGTTTTGGCTATTTGGGATTCCTTGATATTTCATATGAATTTTAAGGTGAGTTTTTCAGTTTCTATAAAAATGCCATTGGAATTTTGATATGGGTTGCATTGAATCTGTAGATCATTTTGGGTAGTGTTAACATCTAACAATATTCTAACTCATGAACATGGGATGTCTTTCCATTTATTTATGTCTTCCTTAAGTCTTTCGGCAATGTTCTGTAGTTTTTCAGTGTGTAAGACTTTCACCTCCTTGGTTAAAGCTATTCCTAAGTATTTTATTCTTTTTAATGCTCTTGTAAATGGCATCGTTTCACAAGTTTCTGTCCAGATTGTTCATTGCAAGTGTATGGAAATACAACTGATTTGGGGGTGTTGAATTCATTTATTGGTTCTAAGAATTTTTTGTAGATTCTTTAGGGTTGTTTTTTGCTGTTGTTGTTGTTTTTATTTTTCCTTTTTCTCCCCAAAGCCCCCGAGTACATAGTTGTGTATTTTTAGTTGTGGTCCTTCTAGCTGTGGCACATGGGATGCCGCCTCAGCATGGCCTGATGAGTGGTGCCATGTCCGCGCCCAGGATCTGAACCGGCGAAACCCTGGGCTGCTGAAGCGGAGTGCACAAACTTAACCACTCCGCCACGGGGCCGGCCCCATCTTTAGGGTTTTATACATATAAGATCATATCATCTTTGGACAGGGATAATTTTATTTCCTTTCTAATTTGTATGTCTTTTATTTCTTTTTCTTGCCTAATTGTTTTGGCTAGAACTTGCAGTGCTGTGTTGAATAGAAGTGGTGAAAGCAGGCATCCTTGTTTTGTTCCTGATCTTAGAGGAAAAGCGTTCAGTCTTTCACCATAGAGTGTGATGTTAGCTATGAGTTCTTCATTTCATATGGCCTTTATCAGATTGAGGAAGTTTCCTTCTATTACTAGTTTGTTGAGTGTTTTTATCATGCAAGGATGTTGAATATTATCATACTTTTTTCCTGCATCAATTCAGCTGATCATGGGGTTTTTTTCACTTCATTCTGTTAAAGTAGTGTATTACATTGATTTTTTAATGTTGAACCATCCTTGCATTCTAGGAACTAACTCCACTTAGTCTCGATGTTAAGATACTGCAGAATTCAGACTGATAGTATTTTAAGTATTTTCACATCTATATTCATAAGGAATACTGGTCTGTAGTTTTCTTTTAGTGTCTTTGTCTGGTTTTGGTATCAGAGTAATGCTGTCCTCATAGAATGAATTAGGAAGTCTTCCTTCCTCTTCAGTTTTTTGGAAGAGTTTGAGAAGAACTCATGTTAATTCTTCCTTAAATATTTGATAGAATTCACCTGTGAAGCCATCTGGTCCTGTGCTTTTCTTTTTTGAAGGGATTTTGATTACTGGTTTGTTCTCCTTACTAGTTATAGGTCTATTCAGATTTCTATTTATTCTTGAGTCAGTTTTGATATATTGTGAATTTCTAGGAATTTGTCCATTTTATCTAGGTTATCTAATTTGTTGGTGTACAACTGTTTATAGTGTTCTCTTTTAATTATTTTTATTTCTATGAAATCAGTAGTAATATCCACACTTTTCTTTCTGATTTTAGTAATTTGAGTCTTTCTTTTTTCTCAGTCAGTCTAGCTAAAGGTTTGTCCATTTGTTGATCTTTTCAAAGAACCAACTTTTGGTTTCATTTATTTCCTCTGTTGTTTTTCTGTTCTCTATTTTATTTCCACCTCACATTTATTATTTCCTTCCTTCTACTACCTTTGGGTTTGGTTTGCTGTTCTTTTTCTAGTTCCTTAAGGTATATAGTTAGGTTATTGGTTTGAAAATGTCCCATGTGCACTTCAGAAGAATGTGTATTCTGTTGTTGTTGAGCAGAGTGTTCTGTATGTGTCTGGTAGGTCTAGTTGGCTTATTTTGTTGTTCAAGTTATCCATTTCCTTACTTATCTGCTGTCTGGTTGTTCTGTCAGTTGTTGAAAGTGAAGTATTGAAGGCTCCAACTTTTATTATAGATCTGTCTATTACTCCCTTAAATTCTGTCCTTTTTTGCTTCATATAGTTTGGGGCTCCTTTGTTAAATTTATATTTGTTATATCTTCTTGCTCTATAGACCTTTTATCAAGATATAGGGTCCTTCATTGTCTCTGGTACACTTTTTTGATTTAAAGTCTATTTTGTCAATAATATAGCCACCCCAGATCTTTTGGTTACTATTTGCATGAAATATCTTTTTCTATCCTTTTACTCTCATGTTCTTTGTATCCTTATATCAAAAGGGAGTCTCTTCCACACAGCACATAGAATCCTGTTTTGGTTTTTTTAAATCTAATCTGGCAATTTCTGTCTTATGATGGACAAGTTTAATCCATTTACATTTAATGTGATTACTGATTAAAAAAATGATTTATGTAGAAAAAGAAATCAGATTTGTAGTCACCAGAGGTGAGGTGTGCGGTGGGAGGTGGGGGAATCAGGTGAAGATAGTCAAAAAGTATAAACTTCCTTTAGTTAACACTGCTGTATGGTATATTTGAAAGTTGCTAAGAGAGTAAATCCTAAAGTTCTCATCACAAGAAAAAAATTTTGTAACTATGAGGTGATAGTGTTACTGTGGCAATCATTTCGTAATGTGTATATGTTGTCATTATGCTGTACACCTGAAACTTATACAGCATTGTATGTCAATTGTATCTCAATAAAACTGAAAAAAAAAAAGGATTTGTGTCTGCCATTTAGCTATTGTTTTCTGTATGTCTCATGTTTTCTGTTCCTCAATTGTTCCATTACGGACTTTTAAAATATTTGGCTGCTTTCTGTTGCATATCAATTTTATTCTCTTCTTTTCTTTTATGTGTACTTTTAGCTATTCTTTTAGTGGTTACCTTGGTGATGAAAATCTTAAACTTATAACAATCTAATTTGAATACCAATCGTATACTCTGCTGCTATACATCTTTGGTCTTTCTTCTTTATATTGTTATTTTCACAGATTACATCTGTTTACATTGTATGCCCATTAATATAGATTTATAGGGGCCAGCCCCTGGGCTGAGTGGTTAAGTTCGTGTGCTCCGCTGTCGGCCCAGGGTTTCGCTGGTTCGAATCCTGGGTGCGGACATGGCACTGCTCACCAGGCCATGCTGAGGCGGCATCCCATATACCACAACTAGAAGTACCTGCAACTAAGAATATACAACTGTGTAGCAGGGGGCTTTGGGGAGAAAAAGGAAAAAAAATCTTAAAAGAAAATATAGATTTATAATTGTTGTACCTTTTAAATCATATGGGTAAAAGAGAGAGGTTACAAACCAAACCAGAAGTATAATAATGCTCGCTTTTATATTTATGTATGAAGTTACTTTTATTATTATTCTTTAATTTTTTCTTATGTCTTTGAGTTACTGTCTGTTGACCTTTCTTTTCAGGCTGAAGGACCCCCTGTAGCAGTTTTTCTAGGACAGGTCTACTGGGAATGCCCTCCCTCAGCTTTTGTTTTTCTAGAAATGTGTTAATTTT